ACTGACAAGTATTTAGGAATGATGATTGTGTATGAGGTATAAGTAATGCACAGCTGGGATGCAAGGCCTACATAGCTTAAGCCTATGGCTAAGTATGCTTGATGTGAATGGGTGACCTAGGAATAACACTACGCCAGTAAGGTTACAATATTCCTGTAAAAGATGTACCAACAGGTGATGTGACAGAGAAATAGACTGCAATGGAAAACAACTGCCCAAGACCACGAGATACCTGATTGTAACACCATGGAATGTCATGCTCTGACTGCAGGTTACTATGGACGGATGTGCATAGATGCCAGTAAGAATAAGGGGAAACTAAAACTATGAAAAACAGGCCATCCCAATATTCATGGGGTGGGAAAGTACAGATAAGGAAAAAAAGCATATGCATCAGGTATTAGGTGGTGGTCAGAACAATATAAGAGGTTTCCTGGTTGTGTAAAAGTGGGAAGACGCCAACGGGAGGAATACCCAAGGAAGACCTCATTGGTAGGACCACGCCAGGAACCACCTCTCTCTCAATGACCACCCACTGAGATCCCACCCAACTCTATGAAGTCTTTGGGTACTGAATCTGGATATGGTATTGGCCAGTGCATGGACTCTCTCAGGATGAATAAATGGGTATGTGACAACAACATTTGTAACTGTTTGCGCTTACTGTCTTCAATCTTCATGTGTTCCTAGAGCCTCCAAATCTCTACCCTATTTATCTTTAAACTGTAGCAACAGAAGTTGGACTAACTAATTTACCACAGAACTATCAATTCATAATAAAGGCTAAAGAGGCATGTACTGGAGTGGAAACCTGCTATGCCAAACCTTCCACTAGTGTAAATGCAGAGTTTGAGGACTATCTTTAACTTACATCAGGGCCAGGCAGTACTGAATTAGGGAGATGCAACGGATTCCTTACCTCCACCCATTGTGTCTGAACAGAGTTCTGACTGAGTGGAGAATCTAGCCCAATATGTATTTCAGAGCACAGTGGCTATCTGAAAAGTGTGATGTTAATTTTTTGGGCTTCAGATTTCCCAGTAACATTTGAGTTCTGAGAACAAAATAGTCTTAATTTTATGACTAGGGTAATTTATATCTATCGTTTTAGAGAAAAACAGCGCCTTAAGCAATTAAATTAGAATATCTAAACTTCTACAACTCCCTCAGAAGCGCCCATATTGGCTTCTCAGAAGTGCCCATACTTGCTTCTGGAATCAGTCCCTATTATAACACAGCAGCTAGTGAAATCCATGGATAATGGATACAAGATTAAAATATTTAAAATCCTTAGAAACTAAATGGACAACCCCTTTAGCACTACGAGGACTAGCCTTCTGTTTGTTAGTGGTTCCTGTTACATTATTACACAGTTTAAATTAAAGCTTTGTGCCCACTCTAAATATATCAGTTCTTCAGTCAAGAAATATTGCTCCTAATCAGTTGTGTATAAATAGTAATAAAGATCTAAATATAGCTTTCTAGCTAACGCCTTCAAATATCTGAAGATACTAAATGTCACATGTTCATATTTGGGTCACAAATATTTAAGAGGAGGTGACGCTTTTTAATCTCTTATGTCTCATTTCTGATCAATATCCCTAATGGACATACCCAATAGTCATGAAGTGTCAGCTGTGTGTGGCCTTTAGCCTGGACATTAACCTTTCCTACCAATACTTTTCCCAGAGCCACAGTGTATTTCTCGTATTTTATTCTAACAGTCACCAATAAAAATGGAATTTTTTGGACACATTGGTTCTTACAAGTAGTTATCCCATAGGAGAATGGATGCATTTTTAGACAACAGGCAAATCTTAAATTCAGGAAAGGGTTTAGTGTTTGGCAATGAACATTAAAAAGTTAACTTTCTTTGGGGAGATCCATATTTTCACCATTTATAGGAATTAATTTAACAGAGTGGATGAACAGCACTGTTTGCATATATTCACTAAACCTAGAAAAGATTATCTCACTTTGAAAATCTCTTCAGTAAAGTCCACCTCAAACCAAGTTATACCCAGTAGTCATGGCTTCTTCTTTAAAAGTGTTCAGTGGAATGTTAATTTCACATCCTAATGTGAAGTGCATGCAGAGGTTCAGCTCTCTCATGGTGCAACTGTTTCAATCTACTGCCGCAGACTCCCCAAGACAGAACTACATTTATGAATAAGGCTGCAAGTTTGCCACATAGGTCATGGATTCCATGACTTTGTGACTTTTGCAGCAGCTGGTGCGCCTGGCTCAGGGACAGCTCAGGCAGCCCCTGTTCCAGGTGCACCAGCTGCTGCTGGGGCAGTCTCAGGCCCCCACCGCAGAGTTTTGGTGTGGGAGGTGGTTGGGGCACCGGACAGGGTGAGGCAGTCTCTGGGCAAGGCATACCTGGGGGCTCCCCAAAAACGGTGACATCCCTTTTGCTCAGCTGCTAGGTGGAGGCGTGAGCAGGCAGCTCTGTGGGTTGCCTCCGCCCAGAGCGCTGGCTTGGCAGCTCCCATTGGCTGGCAACCGCAGCCAATGGGAGCTGCAGGGGAAGTGCCTGCAGGCAGAGGCAGCATGCAGAGCTACCTGAACACGCCTCCGCCGAGCAGCTGAGTGGGGGGGGGGGGGAGAAGCCAGGTAGGGAGCCTATGGCCCTGCCAACTCCCCTGCAGCACCAGCCCCCACTCCCTCCTCTCTTCTCTCCTTCCCCCCCACAGAAGGAGCCAGGCTGCCCATAAATTTTTGTTTACTGCCCATGACCTGTCCGTGACTTTTACTAAAATACCTGTGACTAAAACGCAGCCTTATTTATCAACATGTGTTGATTTTAGACCCGAAACTCAGTGAGCTATCTGGGCCACAGACCTATGTACAGTGGTGCATTTTAAAAGCATATAATTACATTCTGGCTTGCTTTGGGACTTGCTTCTCCCCTCACCATTCTACAATCATTTTCAGTTGCTGATTTCATAGTTTGCCTTTAGATTTGTTCCCTACAGCCTATTTTCCTTGTTTCCCTCCTACCCTATTCATCTTGGATTTGTAGTGCTTGAGTCTTTCCTCTCCATAACGCAACCACCCTGGCATTTATCAGGATCTCCCAGATTCCAATCCTTGGTCTACTCTTGGGCACAAAATGTCCAAACCAAAACCAAGTGCTGCAGCTGCACAATCCATTGTGGAGTCTAACAAATCTCTACATGCAACTCCAAAGCCACAACAGGAACAATGTCTGGACCAAACAGAGAAATATTTATTGCCAAGAGAAGAGCTGAAAACATGAATTTCTAAAGACTATAGCAAAATCTACGAAAATACTAAATCCTTGGGAATCCACAGATTCTTATACTAACGATCTGCATTACTCCTAGTTACAGCATGATTTTTCCGTTGCAGCATACGTATTAATTTTAAAATTAATTGTATTTAATACATCTTGAAATACTTACCCATTAGCGTTTGTGAACCATACAATAAAATCAAGTGAAGATAAAGAAAAATAAAGAGCCAATCTATTCAAATATACTAGGCCAACTCAAACTGAAGGGAAAGCCAGATGTCTGCAGGGGTGATATGACTGATCGCCAAAAAGGATCAGTTTGCGAATATGGTACAAAGAATAAAGATAAAATTTTTTTTAAAGTCCAAGATATGGAAATACTATTGATTTTCAGCAAGCATTATTCATTAAAGGCAGCCAAAAGGAACCTTTGGCAGAACATTCCAAAACTAAGGAACCTAAGTAAGACTGAGCAGGATCTGTGCCCAACTCACTCCCAACTGATTCTTGGGTCACAACAAAGGTCATCTGACAGATTCACATTATATCTTTCTGCCACCTATAACAATTTCCTAATACTTGAAATTAGAATACAGTTTATAGGCACTTCTTTATCATTGCTACTTCTCCCAGAGGGCTATAGGATAGAGAGTTTCATTCACAATGATGTAAATTATACAGTAATTGACCACTGATAAGTGGAGTCAATATGCAATATACACCTCTACCCCGATATAATGCGGTCCTGGGGAGCCAAAAAAAAATCTTACCGCTTTGTAGGTGGAATCGCATTATATTGAACTTGCTATGGAGGGCCGGGTAGGGAAGGCTGTGCCTCCCCAAACAGCCTGGCCCCACCCCCATCCAACCGCCACCTACTTCCTGCCCCTTGACTGACCCCTCGAATCCCCCGACACATCCAACCCCGCCCCCACCTGTCCCCTGACCGCCCCTCAAGACCCTCTGCCCCTTATCCAACCCCCCAGCCCCAGCACCACTTTCTCCATACTAGAGCACCTTAGAAATTAACTTAACTGGCTCTGGTGTGAAGAGCACAAGAAGATTCTTTCAGTTGTAGCTCAGTCATAACCAATAAAAACTATCTTCTAAATTCAAAATGCAGCTAGAGTTAGAGAGCAGAAATTCAGCAAAAAGCATCTGTGATAAGTATAAATTATTAAAACTGTTCTAAGTCACAAATGTTAGATTCCTCTGCTTCAAACATGGGGAAAGTGCAGGTTACTTCAATTATATTTAAGGCCCCCTCCTTATTACACGTTTCTGTACAATTTCTCCAGACATACAAAGCAAAGGACTCAATCTTGCTTTTAGACATATGTAGCTGTATCCATCTTTTATAAAATCAGTTATTGTGTACAAGTCAGCTTTTTATTGGATATACACTTGTACTTATTTAAGAGAAAAATGTTGCTTAGCGAATACATTCTTTTACACTTTTCAATCCAAAAGTGTCGCAAACAAAAATGTGAATAGGAAGGATATGGCCACAAATCTGGATAGCTTAGGTCACCTCTCCCCTCTCCGCCCCTTTTTTTTTAAAACTTGTCACCACCCTCCCCAAAACACTCACTGGTATTTTATTCCATTACCAGAGATGAGAATATGATCATTCATTAACATGGAGTTGGCATTTCCTGGCAGAATCTCATGGTTAGCATAAGTATTACAATCTCTGGAGTTAGTTTTACAGGAATAGAAAGATACGCATGAATATACATACCTGTGCAAAAAGGACGATAGCTCTCCCCACCAAACTGTGCCATAACTCCAACACCATAAGCAGCTGCTTGCCTAACCTCTGGGCTGTTGTCACATATTGACTGTAGCATTGGCCTCAGGAAGTATTCAGCATATTTGAATGAGGATGGGCTGCAGTGCTCTACGATGTCATCAAAAATGCATAATCCCCACTGTCTATCTGGCCATGGCCTATGTGGACACTACATTAAAAAAAAATTAAAATTTTCTAAGCCACCTCAGAATGTAACTGTTAATCAACTGCCATGATGCATACAAAAAGATGAATGATTATATCAAAATGAAATGTTTATAATTGTGGAATTTAAGCTCCATTTCAAGAGCTACATGGGTTGACCCGAATTTAATCTTTACAGAGGAATTCGTTCCTCTAAGGACACTGATTGCAACACTAAAGACAAAATCAAAAGTTAACTTTTGCTGTTTGAGGAGAGCAGTTAGACCAGTGGTCTCCAACCTTTTTATGCCCAAGATCATTTTTTGAATCGAAGGGCAACCCAGGATCTACCCTGCCCCTTCCCTTTCCCCAAAGCACCACCCCACTCACTCCATCTCCACCCTCTCTCCGTCGCTTGCTCTCCCCAACCCTCACTCACTTTCACCAGGGTGGGGGGGTCGCAGTGTGGGAAGGGGCTCTGGGCTGAGCCTGGGGCAGGCGTGCAGGAGGAGGTGAGGGAGGCAAGCTCTAGGAGGAAGTTTGGGTGCAGGAGGGGGTTCCAGGCTGGGGCAGAGTGTTGGAGGTGCAGGAGGGGGTACAAGATGCTGGCTCTGGGAGGGGAGTCAGAGCTGGGGGTTGCGGTGCAGGAGGGGGCTTAGGATGCTGGCTCTGGGAGGGGGCTTGGGGTTCAGGAAGGGGCTCGGGGAGTTGGGGTGCAGCCTCCCACCGGGCAGCACTTACCTCTGGCAGCTCCTGGTTGGTGGTGGGCACAGCGAGGCTAAGACAGGCTCCCTGCCTACCCCGGCACCACACCACTCCCGGAAGGGGCCAACGCGGCCCTGCGGGGGGGGGGGTGTGCACGTGTAAGGAGAGGTGGGGGGCACATGGGTCCGCGCACTGCCCCTCTCTGCAAGCACTGCCCCCGCAGCCAGGAGAGCTGTGGGGCCGGTGCTTGCAGACACAAGCAGCGCACAGAGGGAGATCCCTGTCCCCTGCCTGCACTCGCTGCTTCTGGGAGCAGCATGGGGCCAGGGTAGGGAGTCTGCCTTAGCGGCAGCCACGCTCCACCACCACAGATCATGATCGACTGGGAGATCCTCTAGGATCAACCACTTTACAGCCATTGATCGGTTGGTGACGACTGAATTAGACTAATAAATGAAATCAGGACTGTATGTTGAATACAGAAGTTTTATACCCCCCCGATCTCATGCCTAACTAACCCCCCCCCGCATTCTTTTTTGGGTCTTGTTCCATGAAAGTCCCTTCTACCTGGTGCACTTCCTCTTTCAAATTTCAAATACCCCTCCAAAGCCTATCAGCAATAATCTATGACAGAAGGGTTAGTAAAAAAGAAACAAATGCACTGCTGTGTGATAAAGCACCAGGTGACAAATTTGTTTGATTGTATTTGTCTAGACTATAAACTTCTTGGGTGAACACATGCCTATGTTTTGTACAAGGCATTCAGTGCTCTAAAAACAATTTGCCACACCAGCATGAGATCTTATGCATGTGCCATAACATCTCAGATTTAAATGGAAAGAATCCAAGATACTTACAATTAAATTGACAATTAGTGGTAGTAGCTGTTCAAACCACAGCAACACCTTCTCCTGGTAGCTGCTGAATATTGAGTGCAAGATATCTGACACTTTAGTCAGAATATAAACATCACTGTCATCCTAAGAAAAAATAGCAATAATATCAGAAGTATCCTTTTTGATCAGCACTCTCTCAGAAGGTAGAAACCATATCAAAATATTAAGACTTCTGCATTTTGAACTAAAGCAATTTAAATTAGACACTCTGATAACTAGATATGTAAATAATTCAGAAAGATTTATACCACTATCCAGTGTCTGTGCTGACAGAGCTACTTCACCTTGGTTCCCAACTATGTTACATCAGAAGGGTTTGTTTTAGAAGTAGTGAGAGGAACAATGCACCATCAAAAATGGGAAAAATACATAGCATTTTACTATGACAGACACTTTGCACCATGGAATCAAATCTGGTTGTTTCCCTATGCAAAGCCCTTGGATGAGGACCTTTCCTATAGCTTCCTGATGCCTCAGTCTTTACACTGACATTTCAGCCTGTTTTCTACTCTGAGCTCTTCCTTCCTTCTGCTACAACAATCTGGACAATTTGAATCATCTTATTCTCTATTATTGTCCCCCTGCATAGTGCATCTTTACCCTCCACAATTACAGTGAATTGAAGGGCTTAATCCTGTGGACTTTCACACACAACTCCTACCAACTTAAATGGGATTTATGTGAGGATTGAAGAATTGGCCCTAGCAAGATCCTCTGACTCCTTGTTGGGAGTTCTATTACTCTAAGTATGGTTGCTTTAATCAGTGCTCCACTCCTATTCTACACATTATAGCCATAGCAACAGACAGAAAGCAAAATGCCAACTGCATCTAGCCTCTGATGGCCACACTACTAGTATGACAATATTTTCACATCTCACAGTGTGACAAGCTGCGCTGCACAAGAAAGTGGGGATTGCAACTTCAGGCCATTTCTGCACTGCCATGATGTAACCGAAATCCAAAATAAACCTTGGTGTGCATGTTAACTCACCCATGTTACTTTACAAAATATTTTTAAAACCACTCTGAAATAAGGGTAAAAAGGGAATTATAAGGAGAGGTTACTTACCTTGTACAGTAACTGAAGTTCTTGAAGATGTGCCCCACTAAGGAGGCTCCGCGTCAGGACATGCGTGTCGTCTCCATGAACTCTTGGCTGGAATTTTTCCAGTGTTCATGCACATGTTCTAGATAGGCTTGTGCTCGGATATAAGGGGATGAGACCCTCAGCTGCTCCAGTTCCTTCTCAATCACGAAAGTCCAGTGAGAAGACTGATGCAGAAGGGAAGGAGGGCAGGTAGTGGAGCTCCCATAGGAACACATCTCAAAGATTTCCAGTTTCTGTACCACAAGTTACCTCTCCTTCAAGTACTGTCTGTATGGGTGTTCCATTGCAAGAGATTCCCAAGCAGTACCCTCAATTACAGAGGGGATGGATTCAGTATAAACCATAAAATATCATCACCAAAAGTCGCATCAGCTCTGGGAGCAGGCATGAGAGCACAGTGCTGAGAAAACATGCACTGAAGACTAGAAGGACTGCCCTGCAGATGTCTGAGATAGGTAGGTTTTTCAGAAAGGCCACAGGTAGGCTGATCCCTGGTGGAGTGGGCAATCACTCTAGGAGGGGAATGATGCTTCATAAATAGATTAAGAAGCATCCCAAAACCCATTCAGACAATGTTTGAGTGGAGATTGGGTGCCCTATCATTAGTTCTGCGACTGAGAGAAAAATCCATGGGGAAGTCCTGAAGCACTTAGCTCTGTTGAGGTAAAAGATGAGAGAACTCTTCTTACATCTAGGGTATATAGGCTCATTTCCCTCAAAGAGTGAGGCTTGGGATAAAATACCAGTAAGTGAATCTCCTGATTAGTGTGGAAACCTGAAGAAATTTATGGTAGCAAGCGGGAGTGTGGACATAGTGCCACCAGTAAGCAATAGAATACAGTGTGTGGTGGATCAGCCATCAGGTATCCCAGCTCCCCAAACCCACCTGGCTGAGGTAGCTGCTATGAAGAACACAATCTGGAGGGCCAAATGAAGGAGGAAATAGCTCCCCATAGGTTCAAATGGAGGTTTCCTCAGCACATTAAGGATTAAGTTGAGGTCCCATGGCGGAATAGATTTCTTAAGAGGAAAAATGTAGAACAGGCCCCTAATGAACCTCGCTGTGGTTGGGTGGGTAAAGAATAAAAATCCCTCAATGGGTGTGGGTGAGAGAAAAGCTGATGGCAGCCACATGAACTTAAATTGAACTCAGCAATAATGCTGTGATTTTTAAATTTAGCAGGTAATTGCAAGTATGTCAGACAAGATTCGAGAGAAGGTATAGATCAGAGGCTGCACCAAGCCCGACAAAGTTTCCTCTTCTGTAGATAGAAAACCCACTATAAAGGAAAATTTATTAAGAAGTACTCTTTGTATCTCTAGGGAGAAGTTTTGTTCTACACCAAAGAATCATCTAATAGCCAGGTCTTGAGGTGAAGCACTAAGAGGTTGGGGCAGGAGATAGATCTTGACTCCTGAGTGAGAAGATCCACTGTCAGGGGAAGGGGATCCTCTGTCTAGACATATGAACCAACTCTGGGAACCATACCTGTATCTTGGCCATGATGATGTTATAAGGATGGCTTCTGTTTCAACTTATTCAGGACCTTGAGCAGTAATGGCTTTGGGGATAAGCGTATAGCAATACATGAGGCCAAAGGCTGACTACAGTGTCACCTTGACACCGCCCACATCGAATTGGGGCTGTGCTTTCCCCACAAAACAGTCGTCTGCACATCGTGTGGGATGGTGATACAAAGAGTTTTATCTCCAGATGACCCCAGGTATGACATCTTTCAGAATACCGTGTTGTTCAGCTCCCACTTGTGATAGAGGTGGAAATGCCTGCTGAGGGAATCCGCCACTATTCTGAAGTCCTGTTACTGAAACCGCTGAGATCTGTAGGTGGTGTGATATGGATTTAACACCGAAGGGCTGGAACCTTGCTCCTTCTTGATGACTGATATAATACACTACTGCTTTGCTATCCAGAATTATTCTGATTGGGTGTAGATGTTGAGTAATGGATCTCTGACCTCTAATATGTTGATATGCAGGATCACCTTCTGTGGGCTCCATTTGCCAAGCTGTGAAGTCCTGAAGTGCATAACCCAGCCCAGCAGGAAGGCATCTGTAGTGATTATCCTTGTGGGAGGAGACTGTGAGAACATAACTGCCATGCATACTTTTTGGGGATCGTTTCAACAATTTAGAGAATGAAGAACCTCTGAGATATGGACACAGTCTTGAATGGACGGCTTTTGGGGGGGGGGGTGTCGATAGTTCTCAGCCAAGCTTGAATACACCGAGAGTGTAGTCTTGCTAAGTGGCAGAGGTGGATTAAGGTTTCCTGGGTCAGAGCAAGTGCGTGTGTGGTGGGGGTGGGGGGGGAGAAGGAGGAGTCCTCCCCACCCCTTCCACCTTCAGTCCCATACCCATTCTGCCCCTTCCCCGGGGCCCAAGCCTGTTCCACCCACGTTTCTGCCTGGTGAACCCCCTCCCACTGCAGCTCTCCACAACCCATTTGCTCCTTTCTGCACCCTCCTCCCTGCAGTGCAGCCCCAAGAACGCAGCAGTTCTGTCCCTGTGCCTGGGGCCACAGCGGCAAGTGAGAGCTCCTCCAGTCCTGGGGCCGCAGAGGGGGTCCAGGTGCTGGGGCTTCCCCTATGCTTCTGTGGGGGACCAGGGTCGGAGAACTGGAGCTTCTCCTGCCCTGCCTGCCCCAGGGCTTCTGCTGCGGACAAGGTCGGGGGTGGTGGGGGCTTCCACCGCCCAACAGCGGATTTTTTGCTGGGGCTCCTGGACACAGACCCCGTCGGCATAGTGGCTAATACGCCACCGCTAAGTGGATCACAAATGTACAGGTTGCCATATGGCCCAGGAATTGAAGGCAAGACCTTGCTGTGGTTTGTGGGTTCTGTTGTATTGTCAAAACGAGGCAGGACATCATGGCGGCATTGAGTGAAGTCTGGAAAAAAATGTTTTTGTGACTGTCTGATCTTCCATTAGGAGGGCTTGAAATTGTTCACCCTGTAGCAGGTGTTCAATAAAAGATGCACTCTTTGAATAACTTGTAAAATCATATTTTGCCATCAGGGCTTGGTAATTGGCTATTCTGAATTGCTAAGAGGCCAAGGAGTAGCTTTTATGATCCAGAATGTCCAGCCATTTCAAGCTCCTTAGATAGTGTTGAACAGGACCAATGTGGCCTATTTTGTTAGTTAATGGCCTCAACCACCAGGGAGTTAGGTGTAGGATGCAAAAAAACGAATTCTCCAAGCCTCTGGGCAGTATATAGTATGCGTCAGCTCATTTATACATGAGTGGCAAATTCTAACTACTATGTCACCTCATACAGGCGGGGCCAACAGAGCATTACTGAAGGGCAAAGTGATTTCGCTCTGAGTTATATGTAGAATATTCCTGTATCTCCTCAAACAGAACGTGTAAGTTCTCTGCTATTTGTTTTACAAGGTCTTGAAAATCCTTGAAACTATCAGCGTAAGATGGTGAGGGAGGCATAACAGCCTCATCTAGTGAGGAAGAGGATTTGTGGGAAGGTGGTACTTCTGCTTCTCCAGCTGGCTCTTGCTCCTCTAAGTTCCTCCTATGGAGCAGGACCTAAGGATCTCAGTTGTTGCTCTTGGCATGCCCTCTTACAAGGGACCCTCTGGAGCCGACCACCATAAGGGGCCCTTGAGTTCCAATAAGCCAACTCTCATGGGGCATACAGAAAAAGGGCAGGACCCCAAAGTTGCTGGGTGTAATTTCTTCCTTGGGGTGCACCTTAAGGGAAGGAGGCTAGAACAGGATGGTGGAGGAGCCTTGGATACCTCTGAATCAGATGAAGTGCCCGCCGCAATGACCATCGGAGGGGCAAGTGGAACTGGTACCAGCGGTTTGTCAAGTCAGTACTGGGGACTGGAAAGGGTCTTGTTACTGCATCTGGAGGCAGAGACTCAACTGGGCAGCAAGACTGTATTGGAGGATATAGGTACTGGCTGCAGGTCCCTCTCAGTACTCTCAAATTGTTTGTGTGGGGCCAGTGACCGTATTGGTACCAGAGGATGAGTTACGGTAGACGGCAGGACTGGAAGGTAAGTTGACTCCAGAAGGTAAGTTGGTACCAGCGAGGACTCTTTCAGTATCCCTCAGTAAAAGCGATAGGAGTTCTTCCAGGATCTGAAGGTCCTCATGGAAAAGGAGCCAGGATGGCACCAGAGAATCTAGATAAGGACCCTTGGGACTCAATATACAGTGTGGTACAGGAGAGGGTACTGAAGTGCAATCCATGTTCCCATCTCATCTAGGTACATAAGACTGTATCAACAACAGTTTCAGCTCCGCTTTAAAATCCATTTGCTTTGAAGGTACAGAGTCCAGTGCTGACCCACTCCAGATTGTTTACTGGTGGCTTCCATGCAGTGTGGTCTATTCAGCTGATGCTGCAGTCTCGTCACCAGAGTGGGTAAGAGCCACACCAATCCCCGTGCCAGGACATGAAGACAGACTCAGATCAAGACTTTTCCTTACTCTTTACCCGCAGTGTAAAATAGGCTCTTTTTTCTTTTGAAGTCTGGATGGTTCTGAACGACCCCAGGGTTTGCTTACCATAGCAACTGTGATGCACCAGGCCTCTCTGACCAACCAAATCCAATGTAAAGGGTGGTGATTTGAATCCCAGAGTCTAAGAGAATGCTCCATCAACAGGAGTTTTAGTCTGATCTCCAACTTTTTTGATCTGCCTTTAACTCCTGAGTAGATCGTACATTAGGCGGGGACATGAGTCTCTCCCAGGCAGCGGAGACATATTGAATGTCTGTCACTGCAAGGAAAAGGCCTATGGCAGGCCTGGCAGAGTTTGAAGCCTGGGATCTTGGGCATAACCCAGGGGTTCTAAAACTGTGGGTCAGGACCCCAAAGTGGGTCAGGAACCCATTTTACTGAGGTCACCAGGGCTGGTTAGACTTGCTGAGGCCCAGGCCAAGGCCAAAACCCAAGAGCTTCAGGTCTGGGCAGGTGACAAAGTTACATGTCCCCTGCCCAGGGTAGAAGCCCTTTGGCTTCAGCTTTTGCCCCCCCAGCCCAGGGCAGCGGGGCTCGGGCTCCAGTCCCCACTCCTGGAGTCATGTAGTAATTTTTGTTGTCAGAAGGTCATGGTGCAATGAAGTTTGAGAACCGCTGGCATAACCCATTACTTGTCACCATGGATTGAGGCCTGAGAGAATAAAATTGTGCCAGATTAGGCAAATAAAAGAAGGAAAGGTGGAATCCCACAAAAGCACAAAGCTTTATTAAATAAACAGAAATTAAAAAAATATATATATATAAAAGAATGACAAAATGAACGAACAATAAGAGCAGCAAGTCACTAGCTAGCTACAGCTAACAGTGCACTACTCTGTCTCAAGCCACAGGCAGCTGAGAAGCAACTGGAGCAGCAGCAGATCTGTCCCACCCATACACCAGAGCCCAAAGACATCTATGATGCAGGTGTGGACCCAGGGACCAAAAGTGTATGGGCAAGCACAAATCCTGAAGTGGAGTACCCACAGGGACACTACTCAAAGAAGAAGTTAATGCGCTTAGTAAGATTACTCTAAGTCATTCCTCTTCAAAATTTCTCTCATGACAAGTTCACGGGAACAATTTTATATGTCAGGTTATTTTTCTTGGTAAAAAGAGAAGTGTTCTATATATTTTGAAATGACAAGGCGTATAGCAGTAACTCTTAGTTAATGTAACTCTCATTTTCTTTCCAATGAATTTTAGTAGCTATGAAAATATAGCAATGCTGAATGTTAAAATATTTCCTTACAGACTTCATACATCACAGAATGATTATGTACAGTACCTGATTTTTCTCAAAATAACCATGTATGTCGATCCATATTCTTGGGGGAAGTGCATCCCTGGCACATGATTTTGAAACTTCTAGCAAGTACTGTCTAATGAGACCACTTGCATCCCATTGTTTATTTGTGAGAATTTAAGAGAGGGCATGGACCCCAACCACTCTCAATTCCTTCAATTAACCGAATAACTCGAAAAAGAGAGACTAGTTGGAATGGTCTGAGGTATGTGGATCCATATGGACAATCTCCAAAAATCTGTTACTAGGGTAAGTCACCACTTTTTCGCCTTCAACAACTGCCCATATGGCTCCTCAGTTCTGGAAATTAACAAGCAGTTGTGACCTTCCAGGTGGTGTGTGTGTGTTAGTGAGAAGTTAGCCGCTGAAGTCACTGCAGGACTGCTTTCAAACTGGGCACAGATCTAGGAGGACAAATTGAGGAATTAAGGTTTACATAAATGTGTGTGGAGCGTCAAGTGGGAATTGTGCATTTCTTGATGTAGACATTGTACAGGTGCATTTTGGAAACATTTTTTAAAACTGATGTGCCCCTAGGCTCAACACAGTGGATCTATGAGCATTAGTATGATTAATTTATTGGTCCTGTGGTAACACCTCTGAGCCCCAATCATGCACTAGGATCTTACTGTGCTAGGCACTGTACAAACAGAACAAAGACTATGTTCATACACTGGTGGGAGAACACAGAACAAGCTTTGTAATCACAAGATGAATTAAGATTCGTGATCCATGCTTTGAAAAGGTGAAAAGCTGAACTGGCAGCTAGACAAACAGTGAACTCAATGAAAGTTTTGACTATTAAATACTCAAAAATTAGAAAGTATGCAGGACCATCTCTAGTCCATTCTTTTCTAAGAAAGTAGAATCTTTCCACAACTTCATTCATCAAATAAGTTTTCCATGTAGAATGTTTCCTGCTTTCCAATATAATCTTTGGATTCCTCCACAGAGTTCCCAATCTTGTGCCCAAATAACCCAGAAGCCAAACTGTTAGATTGAAATACTTCAAATGCAGGTGGAAAAATCTTACTCTGATAGCGAAGTGATCTGGTAGATTGGAATACATAACTTGTGGTTCCAATATGTACCAATATACTTTTTCTGCTTCTTTGTCCCGCTAGAGACCAAATGTCTTGGTACTGAGAAACGAACAAACTCAGGACTCTTAGCCCGGCCTACCAGGACTTGGTACTGGAGAGACTTTAGTACCAACATTTATGCTCTCTTTTGAGCATGGAGAGTTTTGGGAATTACAGCACTGCCTCTCTGTCAGGCCTTAAGCAGCCATTTTCAGTGAGTAGGTCTAACTCAAAGGCCCTTTAAATGTCAACTGTTCTGGGTGTTAGATACAAGGCTTGGTTGACTAAACCCTAGGAGCGTCCTCCATCAGAAATAAAAGTTTCCTTCCCAGTATTTTAAGGTTCTACAGTCTCCACCCAGTGACTGATAACAGCTAACAGTCATCAGCAACACATAGGACGACACTGAAGGAGGCAAATGGCTTGCAGCCTCCCTGACCTTGAGTCATGCTGTTGCTTGGATTAGCAACACCACACAGACCCAAAAGGCACAAAGATAAAAAAGCAGGGCAACTGGGCTGAACCTTGGACAATACTTGGAATGGTACAATAATTGAAAAAGTAGTTTTAAAAAGCAATCCTATTTAGAAAGAGAAAGCTCTTCAAAAGAGGAAATAAGTAAGGAAAAGCTCTGCTCTAAACCTGTTCCATCAGCAGTTAGGATATATCTTCACGTTCCAGCACACTGTGTAGCACCAATAGACAATGCTTGCTAGAAACTTCTGAGGAAACATGCCAAAGATGCACTTGCCCATATGGATCCCCAGTATTGGAGAAGTCTCAAAGGATTTGGTTTTGTTTGTTTCAATTCAGCAGCATGTCACTGTGGTGTAAAGTCTGTCTCCACACAGCTGCTGCTCTGTGGAATTTGAAAGTGTCTACATTTTTATTTATTTTTTAAAACTCAAAAAAGGAAATAACTTACTTCATCTTGTAATGACTCTTCAACTTGTTCATCATAGTCTTCATCTTGTCTTTTCACTAAATTAAAAGGAATAAGTGCAAACTATAAGGTTAGATGTTTTCTCTAGGACCCACTCCTGCAAAAAGCACAGGAACAGTTGACAAAATGCAGTAATGGATAAAAGAGGACTCCAGAAACAGTTGCAGGGTGAAGCACTCAGGACCTTCTGTCAGAGTGCCTAAAGGAGATATTGGGCAAGTAAGGAAAAATGCACTGAACAAGTTAGGAGTGAGTATGTAAGGGAGCATGGGAGAAGGACAACCTTGGTCTGGGAAAAGCAAAAATCAGAAAAGCAGGGAAAAGGGATACCAAAAACAAACAGTCATTGCTGTAGGATTGGGAGGTTGTCGCTGATTTAAGGTCAGAAGGGACAATTCTGATCACCTAGTCTGACTGTCTTAGAATTTCACCTAGTGATTTCTGCATCAACTTCTGACTGAGCTACAACATTTTTTGGAAAAGATTTCAAATGATGAAGAATACATCCTTTGGTAAGCTATTTCAAAGGTCAATTACTAGTTACAGTTTGCACCTAATTTCTAATCTGAATGTATCTAGTTTCATCTTACCACTGCTGAATCTCAAGGTGAGGTAACTCAGGAGATAACTGAACAAGCAGTCAATACGAGATGTTTAGAATCTCTGCTTTAGAGAGCTATCTTTAGTGTAAATCACAAAACTTATTCTAATACATAGAAGATGGTACTAACTTACCTTGTCTTAACTCTTGATTTTTAAAGTGCTCTTCTAATTTTCCTTTCAATATTCCTCCAAGTTCTTCAAAATGTTCATTGTTAAGGCATCCATCTCCCATTACCTCAATGCACTAGTGAAATACATTATGTTCAAAACAGAAGTTTAACATTAAACACTATTCAAATAGTGACAGTGAAATTTTAACATGTTGAAAACATTGACTAGAGCTATACTTCAGATTACCACTGACAAAATAGCAAATTTTTTTAAAAAAAGAAGAACTTTCATATTATTTCTAGGCTTATAAAATTAAGGAACTAACATTTTACAGGTTAGATCCATAAATGTAGCAAAATTTAGTGTTTTTTCTAGACTTTTGTTTGATATTTAATATTAATGTTTTAAACAAATGTTATCTATGCAAGTGAAAAATTGTTCCCTAATCCAGAAACAAACTATATTTATAAGATTCAATGGACATTTTCAATAGTTAGCTATGAAAATTAGTCCCATTAAACTAAGCTAACAAAAACACAGTCAAATGATAGGTAACTGTCGGAAAAAATCTCCTGTACTAGTAATTTAAACTTATGGCAAGCACTAAATTTCTTGACACTAAAAATACATATACAAGTTTTCAATAATAATGATAGTGGCATAAATATTTCTATGAAGAAAAAAGGTCACCTTTGCAAATGAATGCATTATTTCTGAAAGTACATCTGAATCGGGTTCTGTCCCTATAGCTTTGATAAGCGCATCACACATGAAATGCCACATCTGTGTGAGATACTCTGGCCCACGAACTCTAGCACAGTCAAGGAGAAGAGGCATAGATTCTGCTGCTGCCACACGAACACGTTTGATTATTAAGGAAATAGTGGATAACTGAGATCAAACTGAAGTACTTTTCTGACGTGAGCATCAGGAAACATACTACCAAAAAAGTACTAAATTCCCACCTTAAACTATGACCAGTCACCCCAAGCTGAAATATACTCATTTTCATAACTACCCAGACATTTAATCAAAGAGACTTGATGTAAAAGTTATGCTTGCTATATAAAAGTTTTAAAGATTTATAATGTATAACTAAGGTTGAAAAGCTATCTATGCATTTCCTTGGCTTCTTGATTCATGCTGCAACCAACTTTTACGTTTACTTATTTAATTCTTCTTTAAAAAAAACCAAAAAGCCGTATTTGCCAAAGGAACTGATGGTGCAATTTGAATAAAGTTATGATCTGGGAGCACAACAACATAGGCTAAATATTGGGGTTGTAAAAACTGTCCTTGCCCATTGTGGCAAGAATAGTATACAGATAACAAAATAATACTTCAACGTTGTTTTGGACATTTCCCCACCCTGTTTACTTCTTCCTCACGCTCTGAGTTATGTTATGGAGGCTTTTCATCAGATAAGAGCTGGAGGCAGGCACATTTAGGGACAGTCAGTGCTGCTTTTTAGTTGGATGAACTAGATGCAGAGGCGAGTGCATACTGTAAGATTAAGAAGTTAAGACAAACTAATTTGCATACATACTGAAACTAGATGCCCAAGCCAATGGACAAAGAATTTAAATAATTGGTCAAAGTAGTATTTATTGCTGGACTGACAGCTTGTTTGCAATGGATCAGGTTGGAGAAATTTAAACTCCCAATTTATAAAATACTGAAAAATGAGGTTTGCTATAGACCAGAGGTGGGCAAACTCCGGCCCACGGGACTGTCCTGCCCAGCCCCTGAGCTACTGGCCTGGGAGGCTAGCCCCGGCCCCTGCCCTACTGTCCCCCCTCCCCCGCAGCCTCAGCACACAGCACTGCCGGCGCAACACTCTGGACGGCCAGGCAGCGCAGTTGCAGAGCCACGGCCTGACCTGGTGCTCTAGGCAGTGCGGCTGTAGCGCTGCCAGCCACTGGTGCTCCAGGTAGCACGGTGGGGGGGGGTGGGGGGGGGGGGGGTTAGATGGGGCTGGGTTGGTTAGGAGGCATGGGCCGGGCCACGCCTGGCTGTCTGGGGGGAGACAGCCTCCCCTAACTGGCCCTCCAAACAATTTTGGAAACCCGATGTGGCCATCAGGAAAAAAAGTTTGCCCACCCCTGCTGTAGACAGACATCTTCCGGACACTAGAATATAACACTGTTGAACTTACTTTTTCCATATTTATGGAAAGATGACTAGCATAGATGAAGTTTTGAGTTTTTCAGAAGTAAAACTGCTAGTTAATTTCTATTGTTTTTATATTAAAAGGATATCATCATGGAAATAGAATTTCAGCAAAGGAACCATCAGTTTTACAACTTGCTCTGTGTACTCCACAAATCCTTCTTTTAATTCCTTAGCATAGCAAACCTGAAACACAAAAAAGGTAATTTTAACAGTTATCAGCACTAGGGTAAAAGCATTACTACTAAAATTTTTAAACTATGAAATGTTCAAGGAGGATAGTAGGCAACCAGAGTAAGGTCAGAGTTAATGGAAAAGCCAAGTTAGAATGCATTTACTTACCACTTAACCATGATATTTGGAAAGAGCTAGATGGCAGAGTATATTTTTTCACTAATGGCTGAATATTTTAGATTAAATGTGTATACTTCATGATACATACAACTGAAAATTCTTTTTCTAGGGCTCCTTTTGCTGACATCTGAAAGGACACTCGTTACATTTGTCCCAAGGCTTAATTTTATGTAAGTTAACACAACTTAGGACCAATAGAAAAAGGTTTCAGTATTTTTAAGTCATCTGCAGAGTTTGAAACCTAAACTGCAGCAATATGAAACTAAAAATGAGAACTATTAAAATTTGAATGCAAGCAGTAAGTTGAGGATGAATGAGTTATCATTTGCCCACAAAAAAGTTTGCCCAACCACACCTTAGTACTGCAAGAATAAAATACTTATATATATGGGATTCAGATTTAATAACTATTGACTTTTAACTATTAATTTAATTCCATAGAAAACCTAGCAAGAAGTAGCTGACCAAGATTTCCCATTACCTACCAGCATCTGGCATGCAGTTGCTTTTTCTTCAAGGCCTGCAGTTTTAATTCCAAAACTTTGCTGGTCTCCTAGGTTTACAAATTCCCAACCATCATCATCACTCATATTCTCCATATCTTGGGCTGTTGTAGAAAGAAAAAAGATGGTTATAAAAGATCTGGCAGCATTTGTAGTTCAAAGATTTTTCAAAATAAAGTAATAGTTATAACCTACTGTCTAGTAGAGCTACTTCAGGTTTAATTGATGCAGTCTTCATTAAAGGCCCCATGACAACAGGAAGGTACTGCTGAAATTCTTTTCCAAGGATTTTGCACATTCTAGCCCATGCAGAGATCATGTAAGATATCTGTGAGAGCAGTTTTAAAAAACTCACATAAGCACACTCATTATTACCCTTTTCAACGTGTATTAAAACAAAACAAGAGGAAATGCATTTCTATTACACTGCAGTATATAAAAAAAGTGGTTAAAAGTCTATCATTGTCAGACTACTGGATCACAATTACCGAGGATATAGACAAAGACAAGGAAATGCTATAAATTTTTACCCTTCCCTCAAGGTGCTACACTTGAACGTCGATGGCGTAAGAGCCACAAAGCACTCTGGTTTTGAAAACATTGCCTCCTGCCACAACATTGATGCGATCTGCTTTTAGGAAACCCATGTTAATTCATTCACTGCCAGTTACCTATAATATCTGGTTTCAATCTCAAATTACAGCCTTCATGAAAATATGGTTGAGCCATGTATGTAAGACCCAACTTACCAGTGTGGAGTCTACCATCTACATCTAACTACTATGACATCATAAGGCTCAACAACTTTAAAGTGGCTGGGTGGCCCCCTAATAATTATGGCCTACTGTATCATCACTCTAGCATCCCACTATCTATGCCAGAGACTAATAGCAACCACACAATCTGAAGCAATACAGAATCTGATCCAAGATGAACAGACTACAAACTGGATCTCAATTAACTACATTTTCATGACCCTAACCAACCAGCCACATTTTCACTTTACCTGCTGGAATGAGGGCTGCTCCCCCTACCTCAGTTACAGACTGCCCTCTACTAGCCACCTTCAGGGTCTTTAGAAATTCCCCCCACAGCTGCACTGCCCCATCTTCATCCAAATAGGGGTTACCATACCCATACTGATTACTAAACCAAGGCTATGTTGGAACTACAGAAAGGCAGACTGGAATAATTACACTAAGCTCATTGACCAATATACAGTCGATCACATAACATCTCAATTAGATCAAGCATACTCAAGGTTTACCAATGCCATCTTTTAGGCTGCCTCCAAGACCATCCCACATGGCTGCCAAAAAGGCTATATAGCATGTCTAAGTAGGTCTGCATGTTCTTTGTCAAACAGTTAACTAACCAACATCACTAAAGCAGACAAAGATAAAATTTGAGAGGTCAATCAAAAAGAGTGGCACCACTAAAAGGAATCACCTCAGATGGACCAAGACAAAAAAACTTCCAGCCATTCTCTAGGAAAGAAATAAGAAAGGCACTAAAATAAATGAACACATGGACAGCCTGCTGCTTTTGAAAATATATCACCAGAACTACAACATCTTAGAAAGAAAAGCCAACACTGACTGTCCACCCTCATGTCCCATGACATATAGGAGAATGATACCCAAGAACGACAAAAAGCTAAGGTGACAACTTTACCAAAGCCAGGTAAAGCCCACTCTTCAGCAGCCAGCTACCATCCAATATCACTCAAGCTGTAGCTATAAACTCCTGGAGTGGATGATGCTTTAGACAATTATGCCTATGACAGAACAACTTTTGAATGATTCTAACCAAAAGGAAGCACAGGTGGACCAAATGCTAGTACTCACTATGTACAGTGAGAATGGATTTCAAGAGAAGAAAAGTGGAGCTGTCCTTTTTTACCTTACAGCAGCCTATGACACCATCTGGGACACTGGTTTGCTGTACAAAATGTCAAGGGTTCTTCCTAGATGGATTGTCATTGCAACTGAGCCGATGGTCTGAGGTAGACATTTTTAGGTGGCTCTGGGCCACAAAACCAGCACCTGGAGATTACAGAAGAATGGACTCCCAGGAGGCTTGGTGCTGGCACCAACTTTATTTAATATACCCATCAATGAGCCTACCAAATACCATCTCCAGGTAGTTTATGGGCATTGATCTTGATCATGGAGATGAAAACCAAGTACATCAAAGACCATGTCAACATGCTTCCATTTACGGCATGCTCAGAGCCAACCTGAGCTTAAACGTCTTTTTGAACGGTCAGTGGTCAACACGTGATCCAAAGCCAGTGTATCTAGAGGTCACCCAACATCTCTCTCACTCACACACACACCCCACCCCCCACCCCACGTAGCTCAAATTATCAGAAGCAGAAACGTAAACTGGTAGGGTCAACCTGGAGATCTAGTATGCGAACACTGCATAACTTAGGGCTCACTCTCGGCTATTCAACTGGAGAATACTGCGCCCCAGTTTGGTTAAATTCTGCACACACTAAATTAACAGACATGAGAATTGTTACAGGCACATTGGAGCCAACAAAAATTGTGTATGTTACCAGTCCTAGCCAATATTTCTCCACCTGACAACCAGCATCAGAATGCAACCAACAGACTGATCACCAAGGTACAGCAAATGCCACACTTGACACTGTTCAGGAATATTTGGGATGCACTCTTCTACCAACTGTGCAATAGAAATCCTATCTGGACAGTGCTGCACACTCTCGATTGAGATCAGCTCACTGAATCTGACAGAAAGGAAGAAACTGTCACTACCAGGAACTCCCACATCACCATGCTGTATGAACAGCTAATTGACTTCAGGCTTCCATACCACCTCTGGAGCCAAGCTTACTAGGTTCAGATGTTGCATGGTTCACTGTGCCAAGAAGGATGCCCCAAGCATAATCTAAGACAGCCCACTGTGCATCTGTGGAGGATGCTGCAAAAATGCTGTATGGTTGCTCTTTTCATGTTGGATTCCAGGGAGGTCTTCCCAAGATGAACACTGTTGACTCAGAGGCCAATGACTGTCTCAAGGACACAGCTATTTTGTGTTTTAAACCTTGTCTTGCCCACACACAATTGCTATGTTTTATTTATATATTGCCAAACTGCACAAAATGCAGCTCAAAGCAAAGAAAAATCGATTTTACCTGTAAGTGGTTCTGTAAAGACATAGCTGTTATACATCACCACACATGAACCTGTAACCTCAGCAAAACATTGACTAGGAATCCTTTATCTTCAAGTTCCCAACCTGCTGGCTCTAGTACAGGACAGTGCCCATGCAGTGGAACCACTTTGGCCCTCAGGGCCCTCCAATAGTAAGTTTCTTTCAAAGAAAATTATGTAATTTGCAAAGTTAACATTTACTGAAGCGTCAATTCCAAAAAAGGTACATGAGTAGTGATCTACTGTATGTGTGTTGTGAGGGAACTAATTTTCAGATACACTTATGGAAAGACAAGATCCAGAAAAAAATCTCAAAATACAGAACATGTCACTAGGTAATACAGTGTAGCAGACCATAAAAAACAGGTACAGAATGACTCAAGGAAATTAATCAAGTTTTGCACTGAACAGTAGTTTTTTTTATGACATAGGAAGAAAGAACAAGAGGGAATCTCAAATAGATGGGGTTTAAATATAACATATTAACTCAATGTCTATGAGCTAAAAACCCCCCGAAAACAGCTTACCTTCAATATACTGCTGGAAAGTCAAAACAATCTTTTAACCCTCACTGACAGGTGAAGACAGTTTGTATGGGGGCACAGGGGCATACAAAAGCTATGATGGAACCCTTCTCTTCAACTGGCATGGCCTTCTTTTAGGGAATATTTTGAAGAGCTGAACCTTTGTCTTTGCTAGAACATCTGTGCAAATCCCCTGCCGTCTCCTGACCTGACTTTAACTTCCTCTTGTCCCTGTAATACCAATATTGCTCTGCTCTAATCCACCCTGAAATTATTCTTCTCAGCAAGGCAAGCTTCTGCATGTAGTCACAGCCTCTATCACCTCATAAGTGACTGTGTGTCTAGTGAGTCTTAGTTATGGATAAGTAAGGAGGCCTCAAGAGACTGGGCCCCTATCCCAAGTAGTGAAGGTCAGAGAGTTGAAGTGACAATTTTCCCTCTGCTGCAAGTTTTAAATGGGCAAAAGTAACCTTAGTCCAGGATTGCTTAGTGAGCAATCCATGTAGATGAATTCTCCAGAGGTTCAGTTGCATCAACCAAGAGAAAAAGCAGCAGTGGAAAGAGCTCAATTTCCCCAGAAACTGAATTAATTTTTAAAATACAGATGCAAGAGGGCTTGAACTATTGTATTTTCCTACTGCTCGAGGCAGGATTTCTGGTGGGCAGAGTTTACAGTCCTATGATTCTACATAAGCTTTTCACCAGTCCAATCTGTGCGAAGAGGAGCAGTGAGGTGGAAATTACATGACATAAAATTGAGCTCTGAGACCCTAAGAGTAATTGAGGCTTTGCTGCTGGAACTAGCAGCTTTGGAACTAGCAGCTTTGAAACTAGGCCATCAGAGTTACCTTGCAGGCTCTTTTTAGTAGTACAAACTCAAGCAAGAAGAGAATCTCTTTAATGACTACCAAGAGACCTCTATAAAACAGCTGATAAGGTCAAACCAAAAAACTTGACCTGCCAGAGTCTGTTTTGGACCCTTTTGCCCTCTTCAACTGTTTATCTAGTGTGGGTATACCAGTTTTGCTCATTCAAACTATTTTTTAAAAAGAGTAAAGTTTTAGTTTGGATTTATCTGTCCCAATGTGCAACGAGATCTGACATTGCCAAACAGAAGTGTATCCAGAAAAGTCTTAAACAGCAGGGCAGGTGAAGCAAGGGACCCAACAAACTTACCCAGTAGCGTAAGGGTCCACAGACTGAAAGGAGCTGTGACAGAGCTCCCCTTGTATCTCCCAAGAGTCTCTTCACAAATGGAGCCCCTCTGCTTGCTTCGATTGGGAAGCTCAGCCATAGGGAGAGGGGCAATAAATGGATGAAGGAGGTCAGAGGATGGTCAAAAGGATAGGGTGGGAAAAAGATTTTGCTAGCTGCTGTTTCAAAATCATCCTTTAAAGCTAGGGCTACAATAGATAAGATAGCGCTGAACGCTGCTTGCACTGCCATAGGCAGAGAATCTGGTACAAGGGTGGAAGGAAGTTAAGACCAGAGCCTCAGGGAGAATTCTGAACTGCCTCTAGTAGTTTTGGGTAGAGGCACCGATGCAACGTATCTTGGCCTGGGAGGTCAGTAAATATGAAAATGTTGTTTATTACAAATATCCTCAGATAGAGGGAGAAGATATTTTCTTCCTGACAAGTTTTTAGTAATAATGGTGCTGTTGAGAAAATGCAGCACAATAAAGCTAAATTTTATTCTACCGTGTGCATCAACAAGTTAGTCTGCTATGGTCAAACTGCAATTATTGGTGTAGAAGTGATATGAAAAATGACCACTTAGGTTTTCAGATCTCAAGTAGAATTTTCCATTAGAATTTCAGTTAGAAAAAAAAACAAATGACATAGGTTGAGCAATTTTATATAGAAGTTAAATACAAATCTTAATTAAATTTGTAGTCATTTTCACAGTAAAACCACTATAACATAGTAACTATTTACTATAAGAATATAGTGAATGGATCCAGTGCTAAAGAGACTATCCATTACAGAGACTCATATGCTGAAGTCTGATCCTGGCATTCCATGTACCATTTCCCTCCATTTCCTGCATGGAAGAATCTGCATTGCAAGTCCAGTTTCTTAAGTTCCTCGATCCTCAAATCCTTTCATTGTTAGGAATTTCACTTTTCAACCACCTCTACACTATGCAGATCCCATGCATTGTACTAGACTTAGGAGAATGGTTCTCTGTGGCAAAGAGATCTGAACAGCTAATTTTTTTAAGAAGGAGGTACACACTTCTATGTTGCATGGGACACTTCAGAAATTTTCTATAAAAAAGCAAGAGGATAAAGACACTAAATATTAGGCGTCAACAGATATTTGTTACAAGTGAGCATCTGACATACCTGGGGGTCATCATCTTCCAGATCACTGAAGTCTGTCTGCGTCTTCAGCAACAGCTGCATCACATCTGATGCATCCTGCATAAACTAGAAATAAAATACACCTACATGTGAAATTTCATATCAAACAACGCTTATTTCAAGTTGAGGCACATAAGTTAGTCATTGTTTTTAGAGGAATTTAACTTAAAAGCAAAAATTCCTAAAGCAGCGTAAGATACTCCTGAGAGTAATCTTCCACTGAAGATGTGAACCTTAGCTATGGTCAAGCTTTAAGGCAGTGGTTCTCAACCTGTGGCCCAATCAGCACACAGCTGTGGCTCACGTGACATCCTCAAGGGTGGGGCAGGAGAGGTACTGCCCCAGGTGCAGAGCCAGCAGGGGTGTCACAGGATCGGACCCAGCATCAGTCCTGCCAGAAGGATCAAGTCCAGTGGTGTCAGGCTCCGCCCCGCAGCAGGATCAGGATCAGCGCCCCCCCACCCTACAGGATTGTGGGTCCAGTGACTCCAACTGGAGCAGGCTCCCCAACACTAGGACTGCAGCAGCAGGTGGGCAGGGCGGGCTGCACAGCTGAGGTAGGAGACCAGCGGGCATGGGGAGGAGAGTCAATTATTGTAGGGGAACAGACTAGGTTGGGGGGGGCCTAAATATTGGGGCACAGTCCATGGATAGGGCAGGGTGAGTGCTGGGAGGCAGTCCCTAGGTGGGGTGCTGGTGCACAGAAGGACAGTCCCTGGGTGGGGCCGGTCTGCTCTGCACATGCAACCCAGTCTTTACCGGGTGGGCACATGTACCAGCCCAGTGTTGGAGGGGTCTGGATGCTGGAGGTGAAGGGGTGGGGTGGGGTGAGGGGGAAGAACAGTCCCTGGCTGAGGGGGTCCCTGCACTGGGAAGGGCTTCCCATCTTTGTAGGCAGGCTCTGCAGCCACGCTTTCCAGGTGCTCAGCTCAGCCACACAGCACAGAAGTGAAGGTAGCAATACTCCATGCCATGCTATCCTTATAGTATTTTCATTAATTTTAACAATGAATGATTTGACTTATTTTGAGAATTTAAAATGTTCTTGGTAGATATTTTCCAGTGTTGAAATGAAAGGTACTATATCAATTTGAATCATATTGCCGTCATGTAACAAATACTAAACTTTTTTTAGATGTACATGTAGTATGTATACACACACATACATACATCTAGCAAAGACTAAATTGCAAGGTAGTAATCTTGGAAATACAGAATAAAAGACCAACATGAGGCACAAAACTAAAACCATTCAAACGAAGCCAGCTGAAATATTTATTTACCTTCCCAGTTAAAGGAACTTGGAAGTATGACAGACAGCAACAAACCTGAAGGTTCAGCAATCAGTGAAGGAAATGCAACATACTATTATGTGGAATCTATTAAAAAAATAGATTCTCTTTGACTCGACAGTTAACAGTATGGATCTCAAAGACTTACCTTTTCCTTACCAACAGCAAGGCCAATTAGGCTGATGCATTCAATAGTTTTTCCTCTTAAAAGTCTAAGTTCCTTCTGTACAGCATTCTCAACAATGTGTTTAAGAGATGGCATAAATAAGTCATAGTAGGGAACAAATTTTTCCTCTGCTGTATCTGCAACTGATGCAATGGAAGTCACAACTTGTTCCAAAACCAGCTTAGTGCCTTTCTGTATTAACTTTGGGATTAAAAAAAGAAAGATGGTTTGTCTCTAAAACTTACAACCACTTAAATTTTATTTGAAAATTGCATCCCGTCTCCAAATGTGGCTTTTGTACAGATTATAATTTTGATAAAATATTGTTATAGTCTAAATATCACTATTTACAACATTCAGTTTTTGATACTGAATGTGAATTTAATATCAGCTGTTTTACAAGACTCAAATAATTACTGTAGGATAATAAATGGGGTTTGCAAACTTGACAGAAGACTTTAGCAAAGCAATAAAAAAACCACCAAAATCATTAAGCATATTGTACCTCCTGCAATTTAATCACCATGGTGGAATGAAGATGCTTCACTAGATTATCCAGGTATGGAATAAGCAGTGATTTCGGACAATCTTCAGTAAAGTTAATGAGTGCAGCAGCTGCATGAGCCTGAACACGCTGGTTGCCTTGATCTTCCATAGTTTGCAGAAGAGCTGCAATTACCTACAACAGAATAGTTTATGTTCAAAACAAGTTTCTGAATGGAACAAAATTTAATCTTGGATTGTCTATTACTTGCCTTCTCGTGGAATTTCTTTTGGAAACCAGGGGCAAAGTCTGTAGCCATTTGTCCAACTGCATTACAGGCTGCATATCTCACTCTTGGATGCTGAAATAACATTCCCCTCAAATAGTAAGTGTTTATAAAAACAGAAGTTAAATAACAAATTTTGATCAAACTGCATTAAACTTACAGGATCCTGGAGGAAAAGTAAAACGAAGTTAACTATCTCATTTAGAATTCCCTCCATCTGTTGATGACAACCTTCTCCAATAGCTGACAGGGCCATTAAACCAGCATGCCTGTATTTCCAATCAGCTGTGTAAGAAGACGTTACATGGAAAATAAGGTATCCATTTCGGAAAATAATAAGAAAAGACAGGAATACATAAGGTCTCATTTTAAAATCATAAAAGAACAAGTCTGGATACTTAATCTATGTATGTCAGAAATGCTCTCTCTCCACCCCTGCATGTATCCAGGCATCCTTTTCTTCAGGATAGTTTAAGGAAATGGGGGACAAACCCTTCTGCCCAAAACTGAACACAGAAATTCTAAGCTATTGATGCCTCATCCCTAGTGCTAATGTCTTGAAATAGCCTACTTAAATAAGTCAACTAGGAAAGTTTCAGGAAAAGACATCTTCCATTTTGCTACCAGTGATTTCCATACCCTTGTGCTTGCCCCTCTTCTTCAGTGTTTGAAAAAAAGAAAAAAATCTAGGTAAGAGAACTGAACATTCCAATTTAAAGATGAACAAAGAATCCCCACCTCTCACACATTTCTAATGTCACGTACCCTATTCAATCCTCCTAATATGTTTTTCAAAGGATTGGACAATTTAAAAAAATTGAAGCCTAAGGTTAAATATGGATTTAGGAATTTAACTTTCACTCTTTTTATAATGTATAGCCTATTAGCCTGACACCTGACCTCCATCTCTCCTTAACAGCTTTCCTTTAGAGTGGAGAATGTGCATTAGCAAATCCCTTTTGCCCACAATGTTCTTCCTTGTACTACAACAAACACGTTTGAAAATAAAACATACAAGTAAAGATATAGCCAAATCTGTCAAACAGCCTACTCTTTCCCTGCTTTGCTGTGGGAAGAAGGTAGACTAAGACTTCTCCCCACACCAAAAGTCAAGAATTTTGAATTAGTGGTACCAGGTCTCCAATCCTACAACTTGTAAAGGGCACTTCAACTCTTTCTACTACTGTCCCTAATGCTACTCACACACATCTGCTGAATTGTGAGGTAGTTTGGGATAGTACAAAGGTCTGTTTTTGCTACTCGCTGTAAAGCAGTGTATTATATATTCCACGGTATTATACAGCACCAGATTAAAGAGATGCCTGCAGCTCTCCCACCCCAAATAAATTAGTCAAGTAAAAATGTTTAATTACTTCAACATCTGGCTTTTTTTTTTTAAACCACTGTGCTCTGGTCAGACATATTATAGTGAGGTGAAGTGGACTATCCACTCCCACTACTCCATTGTTTCATAAACCCCAGTAGTCTAGATGGCAGATCTTCTGTACTATAGAAAATTTAAAGGATAATGTAAATATAGTAATTGTGTAGTACCAATGCACAACTCACAGGATTGCCCTAAACAGTCACAACATAAAAGTTTCCAACTCCTGCAAACTTAACCAATATACCACCACAGATTGGCATCCTAGTTGCAGCTTGCTTCATTATAAGTGAAAGATATTCTGATTTGCATCGGACAGCTAGGCTAGAAAGTGCCAGTTCTGACAGTGGATGCTGGGAAGCAGCAGTTACGGTGCTTCTATTTTGGCTGCTGCTCAAGTTCACTGCTTTTTTCTAATTCATTAAGATCCCATTGTGCCTCTTCCTTCCAACTCACTGCTATTAGAATGCATGCCTGCATGCATGCATTCTTGTGATGCCAGGAGAGATGATACCTAAAGCCTGTTGGGGCTCATATTCTTGCATCCCACCCCCTGAGGGGAAAACTTACAATCTTTAATTTATGTAAGGAAGGTTTGAGGGGAAAAAGACTGGAATATTACCACTAAAAAAAGAAAAACAAAAATTCTTTGTAGTTCATCTTTAACAGTTGATTAAATAAGGTATTGTGTTTGAAGTTTTAATCAGAAAACCTTGCAGTCTCTCCTCTATTCCCTGCCTGTAAATAAAGCTCTCCCCTCCTATTATACTACCAATGACACTTCACCAAATAAATATTGCAACAGGTTCTCCTTCCCAGCAGAGCACACACCTCATGCGCCTCACCTCTCACTATCGCTCAACCCAGATTGCAGCATCCCTGCTCAAAGGAAGGATCAGGGCATACTGACTAGCAAGTCAGGTGAGAATGAGTGCTTCCAACTCTTATAAGACCCAGCCCCAACTGCCAAGGGGCTACATAAAGGCTCTAGGTACCTGCCAGTTCTGAAGGTATTGAAGATCAAAAGATTAATCAGTTTCCAAAGTATCCAAGTAGTTTTCTACAATGAATAACTTTCATTTCAGAAATTAAACAGCACAAGAAGGCTGCTAGTGGTTTGTGACTTGCCTTCTTCAACCCATATGCCTGGCTGTCCATATCAAATTCAGCATGCCTTCTAGGGTGCAATAAACCCAAATGTGCAAAATATGATTCAATGAGCAATCCTGTTGCACAAACAAACATTAGGATACTTGTAGGTGAGGAGAAGATAGATGGCTGGCCAGGATCCATACTACTATAAGGTGGATCCATACTACTATAAGGTGGATCAGTATGGCAAAACTCAACCTGTCCACCATGGTGGTTACTACTGTATTTCAGTGTGTGATTTGTTCTTATCCATGTATGATCGCGGCACCTTAATGTGTTTTTTAAAAAATCAGTGTGATTCTAATGCTTGTGAAAAAAGTAGGATTGAGACTCTTGCAGACTAGAGTTCTGTGAAGTTAGAGGACTGGAAGAGGCAGTTTACACTGCCTCACAATGCCTTAGCACAATGCCTGAACTCTAACCTGGGGGGACCGTCTCTAAAAAGATAAAGAAGTCAGTATCCAACATAACCCTGGGTGTTGTCTGCAGAGGATGCCAGAAGTGTCAATTACAAATTGTGACAATCTGTAGCACATTTATCTAGTCAAACTCATTCTCAATGTTTTACTGAATTAGTGGGAAATTTCATACTGCTCATATGCAGTTGGTATTTCTAGAACTCACAAGTCCAATCTAAACCAAAATTCTTCAATGTGGCAGACATTTTCCCTCATTTATGACGAAATCCAGAGAAAGTCTGAAGTTTTAAAGGGAAGCTGTTTGAGTTACTTTACTACTTTTAATAAAATAGCTCCTCTGTGCTTGACCACCGAAAGCAGAACACATTCATCACATTTTAGATACATTTTTGAAATTCCACTTTGGATAAAGAATAAATTACAAGTCTATCTACAATATCTATAGAGTTTTATATGCACCTATTAATAATCCAAAAGGATAATGAACAGAAAGCGCTACATAGCTGAACAGGCCTTTACAAAAATTATATAAGCTAAAACTCTAAAACAATGCATCAGTTACTTACGATTCTGGAGCATTTGCATAATATGTTCTTTAATCATAGGCAGAACAAGTTTCCCTCCAAGGCCACATGCCATTCTGTCCAATGCACTCTCACCAGCAACTGCATTGCTAAAGTTAATGTTTAAAAAAAAATTTCATGATTAATTCAAAGTCTGGGATAAAAAGTCAACAGGTCCAATAGTTCATTCGAAAAAGCGTATTTCCTCATACACTTTTTCCATCTCTGAATGTGAATAATCCTTGCAAGCAAATAAAGTTTAAGTTTGAATCTGAAAGATACAAATGCTTATATTTGGAGTCTTTCAATTATAAAGGAAGATTTATTTACACCCAAAGCTTGTTATTCAATGAGACACACACACACAGCTACTTCTGCTCACCCTCCCCTTTAGCATTGCTCCTATCCAAGAATAAACTGCTTCTGATCCTTTTCCTTCAGACACCAGTAACGTAATTCTAGACCTCAATTATTTTCTGTCAGTTGTGGCGCCAACTTATATCACAAGGCTTCTATTTTCACTTCCACTATCTGTAAAAAGTAGAAATGTGTGTGCTGCTGCTCAGAGTGGAAGACAGGTAGAGTGTGGGAGTGCAGGATGCAAACAAACTGCATCCCCATCTTGCAAACACCCAGGTCACCTGTATGCTATAGGGTTTCTTTTAATTGAGACAGCTGGTTTGTCAAATACCTGTCAAAATCATCATCTTCAAGCTCATCTGCATTTGCCCAATCTTCATCTTCTTCTAAATCAACCATCATTGCTAACATCTGAGGAACTAAACACAAAATGAAAACCTGACAGTCATCCCAATTAAATTACAGTATACTAAAGTAATGTTTAATCTATAGCTCTGAATGAGTTTAGGAGAGGACGTTCAGAACATTTTGCTTCACATGTAATAAAAATAATAGAATGGAAATTAGGAATACCCTTTCATCACCAAAAATAAATTACAACAGAGTTCTTCTGAAGAATTTTAAATTTGCAAAGATCAATTTGATAAAGTAAAGGCTGCCAACATTCATTTGAAAGGTTTAGCAATATTTGACAAACATGGCATTAGAGTCAGGATGTGTTTGGACTAATTTATGGAAGCTTTGACAAGGAATCCTCCAAATTTTGGCTGATAAAGTCTGATGACTGACTACAGAAAACTATTTCCCAGTTTTCCTGCTCTCCATTATGAGCTCTTGGTGCACAGACAGTATACCTGGCATAGATGAAAACTTAAAAAAAACATAAAACACTACTGACTGATATATGGCAAACAGACCAATAAGTAATTCTCAATGGCTGTACATATTTAGAGGGACACTGGCCTAATCTTCATCTTGACAACCTGATTACCTGTTTCGGATTGCAAGTGTGTAGCCCTTCTGTTCTGCCTTGTCTTCTTTTTAAACAAAGAAGATATAAGCCCTTTAGAAATGGGATTTTCCCACTGAAAGTACCTTAGAACTTTCAGAAGAGCTCAAGATATGAAGAACCTATGACACTTAATCCATCAACTGTCAACTTGCCCATCCCTGCATTTGAAAAATGAAAGTTTACTCTGTAAATATGGAACCTTAGCTTCTAAATAGGTTTTAATTACACCCTCATCACCATAGTATTTAAGTGTCTTCCATTAAACAACATGACTAACTTACGTTACTTGTTGCTCCACCTCAGGATAATTGTGTGTGCAGTGTAACGTCTGGTAGGGTTTTTATTTGTTTTTACACTATGTACATGCGGCTATATGTTTATATTAGAGAAGACAAGAAATGTGCCTTGCAATTTGAATAAGAGGTAGTATATGTCTATGGGGACTTCTTCCCTAAGGGCTATCAAACTAGGGGGTACAAAGGAACCTTTGGGAGGGGGGTCCAAGGGGGGGGCAGGGAGGGAGCACCACCCACACCTTCCCTGCCCCCAGCTCTGCTCCAGTCACACCCACAGCCACATCCCTGGCTCCTGGCCCTGCTCCCAGTCTCGGCTCTGTTCCCTGCCTAGGGCCAAGGCTGGGGCAGGAGGCCTAGCTGTTGGCCCCCACCGCAGCCGGCTGCAGTTCTGCTCAGCCTCTGGCCATGGCTCCAGCTCCACTCCCGACCCCAGACTCACCCCCAGCTGCAGCCCCAGCCTTGGCCTCCTTATCCCTGGCTGCGTCTCCCTCCTTCTCCCCCCAATCCCCAGTGGGGTGTGGACAAGGGTAAGGAGGGGGCACAACCCTCAAAAGTTTGGGGACCACTGCCTTAGGGAGTTACAGTTTTAGACCAGCAACTGAGAAAGCTCTCTTGCATCGACTAACATCACCCATGGTAAAAAAGTTCCATTGTGCCTGAGGAGCAGTTTTCAGCCACAGTCCTCATCCTGGAGCTTTATGCCATTTTTTTTTTTTTAGAAAGGCTGGGCCCACGTCATCGCATGCCTTGAAGATAAGGTCCATGACCTTAAACTTTACTTTATATTGTATGGAAGCCAGCATAAAACACACAAAACTTGTTTCATGTGCTCACAGTAACCTGTGTTGCTGAGGAGGCATGCTGTGGCATTCCATACTAGCTGATGTTTCATAAGACTGATGGCTTTATACCGAGCTATATACAGGGGAGATGATGCAGGAGTGTACAACCAAGGCCAGGTCATCATCCACCAGGATGGGACAGTCTCCTAGCCAACTATATTACAAGAGAACTTGACTTGACATAACTCGCAGCCATCCTGTGTACTTAGCGCCATGAGCTGGAAGCAAGGACACCATGTAGGAATAATTCATCCTTGCTTAGACAGACAAGACAGCCGTACAGACTGCAGTGTGTTACTAACAGCACACTTTCAGTGAAAGGACAGAATCATGAGAAGGGGTAGAGGGGAAGTGGGGAAAACAGACCTAGATTTGGGTATCAGTAGAATAATGAATTATTATTCGCCCTTGCTAGGGAGATTGTTTAGCCTATTATGAGTTATGTGCTTGGTCTAAAGAGAACCTATATAAAGTTTAGTTAGAGAGTGTACTTTGGAGAAGCTTGGGAGAAGTCTAAGAGGATTTCTATGAGCTAGGAGACTGACATCTAACTCCCCAGTAGCTAGAAGAAAGGTTGGGCACCCGAAACCTGTTGCTGTAACTTGATACCACCTCAGACTTTGGGCAACTATAATCTCAGGTGCTTCTAATCTAGAATATCGCTAGTTCTGATGTGTGCTTTATACTCAATAAAAACCAAGGACTGTTGGATGGAAGCACTCTTGTATATTCCAATCATTTATCAGACAGAGATGCTGTGTCACCCACTGACTTATTTCCTGACACTGCCTGGAAAACAGATTAGTTACCACATCTTTGGGTTCAGATAACCCTGGGTAACAAATGGAGATGGCAGAAAGCATTACTTGCTGATGATGCTGTGCGAGAATTTAGCAAAGAACCCAGGAGCTATGTAGGGAGTTAACCAATTGTGGCTATGTACATAAGCCAGAGAAAATTGCACTGTGTCTGCAAGATTCTCAGAGTGCTTTAATTTGCCCACCAAGATAACCTCTTGCATACCCAACCAAAGTTTGAATGTGATGTTGGACTACCAGATGCCTCTACCAGATGCCTATGTGTGAAGCCACTAAGAATAAGCTGCTTCAAAAGGATTATACCTGAGATGACATGCTTTTCAAGAACACATGTGCATGACTTGTAAGCATATATATGTGGTAGCGGGGAGGCTCTTATACACCAGTGTTCAAATCCAGTTAAAAAATCAGAATCTCAATCACACATTGTCACTGGCACCAAGACTCAGATTCCAAAAACCTGGAAGAGTACAAATGACTCTAGCAAATGGCTTAAAACATGTAAGCCTACTGAGAATAGTAACATTTAATATAAAGGACTCCTGAAAAACATCTCTATAAAAGGCTTGCTTTTCATGCACACTGTGTAGAAGTCTTTGACCTCCAGAGTTTTGTTCTTCTAGATATATAGGTAAAGATAGACAATCCTAATTTTTTACGGTCTTCCTAGAAGATTAACATCTCTTAAACAGTTATGAGCATAAAGCAGCACTTTTCCAACCCGCAGAAGAATGAAATAGCAAGTTGCCTTTATGTAATTTCCAGGGACTTAGCATATGGTGAACCAAAGTCTATTCAACTACCACTCTCTCTCTGTGTGTGTGTGTGTGTGTGGTGGGGGGGTTGTTTGAATCTCTCAGAGCATGACTTGTTTATTTCAGTGCCCTGTCTGCTCACAAAAGAATCTGACAGGTGGAGCAATATGCATTTAGTTATGCATATAAAAACAGTACTCTGTTGTTGGGTTGCCCAGCTGAGAAAGTTATTTTTAGTGTCCAAAAGTGCGTGCCATGCTTTAGAAAGGCACAGCGCCTGTCCTGGAGAGTTTACAATCTAGATTTTAATCAGTATTTTGGATCGAAACTTAACCCCATATTTAAGCGTCTGAATAAACTGCTTGATTTTCAAAGATGCAGCATAACAGCTCCCACTAACATTAACTGGGTTTCAGGGGCCCTTAGCACTTGGAAAAATGAGGCCACTTAGGTGCCTAAACAGAAACTTTGAATTTAAGACTTTAATAGTTGGGTGTCCATAGCTGGGTTTGTATAGTGCTAAAGTTTGGACTGTATCTAGTGACAGCTAAGTAAAAACAATCAAATGCTTTCCCAATATCACTTTCCCTGTAAGCATGTGCTCTAGTTGCTATAGAAGTGTTATGCAGCTGCAGACTGGAGGAGTTCACAAAATAATGAGTGAGAAGGCAAAACAGCTCAAAATTGCCAAGAAGTGGCCTTCACTAGAAAGAGTTTTGGAAAACTGATTTTGGGGCTTGCAGATGTTGATAAATGTTTTGCAATACTGAAAGTCTAGCGAGGTTATTGTGCTAGTTAACATGGGGGACATTGGTTTAACATTTTAAAAAGGGGGCAAGTTATTTAATAGATAACAGGAGTATTTTACTTACTAGCTTGTGCAACAATGTTGGTATGTCTTCTCAGCATAGCAGCAGCAGTTTCTGATAGCGTTACTATTACTTCCAGGGCCAGCTGACGCTGCATGTTATTGAGGTTGGTGTCTCCGCATAACTGCAAGGATTAAAGCTCAGTGGTTAGACCAGACGTTTAACAAATGAAAATCTGCTCTTCGTAATTTCCAGATATACCTTTAGGCTTAGTTGTAATGTTGGTTCTAAATGTGGACGTAAATATTTCGGAACAGTATCTGCAATCTCTACAAGGGATTTTAGAACGGAGTCATCATTTTGGTAACAGGAATCATTTACAGCCTAGAAAAAAAATTAGGATGAAATTAAAATATTGCTTTTTACTGATGCTGCAAAAACACTGGATTATGAAGAAATTCAGGCTGTTTACTGGCATTAAAGATTATGGGGTCTACTTCTTCTGTGTGTGACTAGTTCCCACTGGCGTTAATATAAGCAGAGCCAACATGATGGGGGGAGACACTTAACTTCATAAAATCAAATCATATCACTAAGTCAGTAGTGTTCAAATGGTAAAAGTTGCATTTTAGCAGTTTAACACGTATAACTCCCAAAAAGCATGTCTAATACTTCATACATCTTACTAACTAGTAACTGAAGGTAATCCACAAAGAAAAAAACAAATTCATGCTCATTTTGTTTCTCTGTTGTATAAATGCAGTCTTAAAGTAAAAAAAAACCCACCACCTTAGAAATACCAAGCATATCAAGTTTATTCTTCCTTGCTTTTGCTGGAGAATCTGGACCTAGAATGGGACCCCTGTTAGCCCTCAACTGAAGGGCATGGGAATGAAAAATGTATTCAATTTTTTGTAAAGATATCCTAACCAGCAACTGTCTGAAGTTGTATGTTAAAAATTATTATTATTTTAAAGTTTAACTAAAACTTCCTTGCCTTTTAATTGGTTAGACAGTGTTCTCTTGATACTGTAGTCATGTTTAGGGCTGCCTTCCAGGAAAAATATGATCTGAATTTCTAAGGTAAACAAGTCTTTTGCTCTTTTTAGCCTAAAAACAGCACTTTTGTCCCTTTGGCAGTCACCTCTTATCGGTATAATAGATATTTATTTGTATCACTATTAACCAGATTTTGTTCTTTATCTCAAAAGTATAGTTTAAAGCAAACAAGTTACAAACTGTATTTGGTTCTTCAATTTATAAATCAATATTGCTTTTCAACGTAATTAGGATCTCAGTGGTTTAATCTCCATCATGGAAGATACTGCTTAGTCAAGACAGGTCATCCTTATACTAGTTAGTACACTCCACCCGCCCTATCCAGGCACTTGTATAACGTATACAAGGATTTTTCTTCATTTTTCAGTGATTAAGTTCTACTTGTCTATCCACTACAAGTGTGAGCAGCTGTACAGCAAAAAGTCAGTATTTTCAAACCTGGGTATCTAAAGTCACACCTCCAAATTCTGCATTAAATATAAATAGCCTAGTTAGTTTTCAGAAGTACTGAGCACCCAAATCACTGAAGTCAGTTGGAGGTGCAAGTGCTTTGTTTCCTTTGAAAGTCAGGGCTCTTGTATTTAGTAGCTCATCTGTGAATTAAGAAACTGAACTTTAGATATCAAGGCTTGAAAAAAGTCTGGCTTAAAGACCTAACTGGTCATCCAGAATGTCACACTGGTGTCCAAAGCCAAGCTTTAATCATGGTCGTAACATTTCATATCCTTCCCACTAACCAATCAGTAGAATGAACTTCAACAGCCGCAGAATTCTTTCCCAACTGCCTCCAAAGATCACCCACAATTATCCCAACACTTCTCATCTCCTATTTATAACCAGAGATCTACATATTCGGTTTACCATAGCCACAGAATCCATCCTTACCACAAAACCGTGGACTAGAATCAGTTTTCAGTTACAAATATGTAGCCATCCCTTAAGGTTGCAAAGGAAATCTTGAAATCATGAACCACATGCAATTAATATAGTGTTAACTGAATCTTGAGAAGGCCTCAAATTGAAGCTCTGAGGGGTAACTGCACATATGCATCCAAATAGATGGTTTGCCATATTTAATTTTCAGACCTATCTGTGCCTATATTAACTATTTTACTGCTTAACATTTTAGTATGAACTGGATGATTATCCCACAATTCCTTCTTTCTAGCTGCCAAAAGCTCAAATTATATCATACTCCGCTACTAAAACAATTATGTATTGTCAAAACAAAATCTGTCACACAAATTCTAGAGAGTAAAAAAACTGGTTTCAGTATCAAACAGGAGTTCCTGTATTCATTTCCACAGTTAAAACACACTCAATTTTTCATTTAAATGAAGCTGCTACAGAATTTCCAGTGTGCTGCAGAAGGTAGGAATCTTGGCAGAAAATTTAGGTTCAGCTTATCAGAGTAAAGGAGGCTATGTTTATAGCTTCCACTGCCTCCAGCATCAAGCCATCCTCCTGACCCTAGCAACAAAGGTTACCTTAATGTTCTTAATCTACTCTGAACTGCACTATGCAATATGAATGGCATGAAACTCACTATGGCTGCTACAAAAACACTGTACCAAACGAACATGCTATTACCTGCTTCCTTTTATAAAACCATCTGTACCCCACAATACCTGCCCAAGTAGAGCTCAAACTATCCAACTTAGCTTTTCCCAAAACTAGATACCCTTTAACGCCAACTCTTGCACAACTTTATCCCTTTCAAAACAAACATAAGCCAGCTTGAATCATAGGTGAGTTTCTACTCCTGATCCTCTAGAGCTAAAAGGGACCAAAAGAACATTTGGTTTGACCTGTATATTACAGGCCATTGAATTTTACCCAGTTAATCCTGTACTGAGCCCCGCAGCTTCTGTTTGGCTAAAGCATATTTTCTAGGCATCCAGTCTTGATTTAAGACTTCAAAGACAGAATCCACCAGTTCCCTTCATATTTTGTTCTAATGGCTAATTTCTTTCACTGTTAACTGACATTTCTAATTTGAATTTGTCTGGTTACAGCTTATATTATATTAACCAAACTTATTGTCTCATCAAAAAATGAGATCAGGTTTGACAAACCTATTTCCCATAAATTCATGTTGATCAGCATTAATTATATTCTCAACATTTACTTCTTTGTTCACTGAATACCAGGTCAGAGTTTTCATTATTTTGCCTGGGATTGATGTTAGGTTAACGGGCCTATGACTACCTAGGTTATCGTCCCTGCCCTTTTTGAATAACGGCAAACATTAGTACTTTTCCTGTCTTCTGGAATTTCCAAGATTTATTAAAAGTGATCCCTGGGCCAGAGATCTCTCCAGCCAACTCTGAGTAAGTGTGCAAGTTATCTGAACCTGGTGATTTAAAAATATTTATCCTTAGCAGATGTTTAACATCCTGCTTTATTATTTACAATTTCATAATCTTGAGTTTTCTTATAATATATGATTGAGCATAGTTTTTTTAAACATGTACACCAGCAAAGACTCTACTATAAAGTGATTTCATTCATTTTTACTGCTCAAGTGTTACCATAACATTTAAGATATCGACCATTAAAATAAATGGATTTTCCACAGAAATTTATCTTAGACCCTATTTATTATTTGTGTTACAAAAGCACCAAACATGTACTTGACGGTGGGCAAACAATGAAAGTCTCTGTGCCAAAGAGTTTAAAATTTCAGGCTATGTCGACATTACAGCTTATGTCGGCATTATTTATGTTGCTCAGGGTGTGAATAAATCAATGCCAAGCGATGTAAGTTACACTGACATAAGCACTGGTGTGGACAGAGCTTCGTTGGCAGCTTCTCCTGCCAACATAGCTACCACCACTTGGAGGTGGTTTTATTATGCCAACGGGAGAGCTCTCTTATCAGCATAGAATGTCTTCACTATATGCACTGCATCGGTGTGGCTCTGCCGCTGCACCACTGTATGTGTAGACATGCCCTATGTAAACAAAAAAAAGACTAGGAAAGAGAAAGCCATTTGGCACATATGATCAAGGTGAAGGAATTCACATGCCACTAAGGCAGAGGTGCGCAAACTACAGCCCGAGAGCCACATCCGGCCCATGTAACCCTCCTGCCTGGCCCCTAAGCTCCTGGCCCAGGAGGCTAGCCCTCGGCCCCTCCCCTGCTGTTCCCCCACCCCCGCAGCCTCAGCTCACTGTGCCACCGGCACAACGCTCTGGACGGCCAGACAGCGCAGCTGCAGAGCCGTGGCCTGACCTGGTGCTCTCAGTGGCGTGGCTGTAACGCCACCAGCCACCAATGCTCCAGGCAGCGAGGTAAGGGGGCGGGGTGTTGGATAGAGGGCAGGGGAGTTCGGGGTGATGGTCAGGGGTGTGAATAGGGGGCGGGGTGGTCAGAGGGCAGGGATCAGGGGGGTTGAATGGGGGCAGGGGTCCCGGGGGGCAGTCAGGAAGGAGAGGGAGGGTTGGATGGGGCGGTGGCAGGGGGCAGTCAGGGGACAGGGAGAAGAGGTGGTTGGATGGGGCAAGGGTCCTTGGGCGGGGGGGAGGGAGGTGTCAGGAATGAGAAGAGCGGTTGGATGGGGCAGCAGGGAGTTCAGGGCAGTCAGGGGGTGGTGGATGGGGCAGGGGTCCCCAGGGGTAGGCTGTCGGGGGAGAGAAGCAGGGGAGGTCGGATAGGGGTTGGGGGCCAGGCCACGCCTGGCTGTCTGGAGAGGCACAGCCTCCCCTAACCAGCCCTCCATACAATTTTGGAAACCCGATGTGGTCCTCAGGACAAAAAAGTTTGCCCGCCCCTGCACTAAGGAGTTTACAAATCAATGGCTTGTGCTTACGTTAAGCAAATATAGATGGCATGACAAGACACCTTCTGCGTGGTTCTTACCTGCAAGATTCCAGGTAGCAAGTCTGCAAAATGTTTCAGAAGAGGAAGATTGTGCTCATTAGCAAGTACAAATGCAGCTGCAGCCCTTGCAGACAGCATCCTAACCTAGAGGGAAGGGGGAGAAAAAGGCTGTTTCAGGCGAAGATTAGAGTTTGTAATGGTAGAGAGACATCTGAGTGCTTTCATATTTGATACGGTTTTTAAACTAGCTGCTAATATGCCACAATAGAACCATTTTAGATTCACTTTTAGTTTGAAAATACATCCACTTGGAAAAGTTTTTGATGTTTTTCACCAAGGACTTCAATAAATTCATTCATCAGAAATCTTGTCACAAACAATCTCTTTCCTTCATTACTGTATTATTGATCATCTTTACCCCTGTGAGGTACTATTATTCACCATTTTTACAGATGGGGAACTGAAAGACAAAGGGTAAAATTTTTAAAACCCAAGTAAGTGACGTAGTAGGCTAAGTCCCATTTTAAAATGACATAGGCACTTAAGAGGTAAGTCTGAAGGAAAGTGAATCTGACTTGCTTCCAACATGACTTAGGCACTTTTGAAAATGTTACCCCTCTGGGACTTGCTCAGGGTCAGAAAGGAAATTTATGGCAGAGCAGGGAACTGAACCCCAGCTCCAGAGTCCTAAACTAGCACCCTAATTATGGGATAATCCTCCCCTCTTATGATTCTATGAAAGGAGAACAGGTGTATTACCGTTGGATGCTCCTGATCTTGCATACACTGAACCAACATCCGCTTAATGACCTCTAAATAGTGTTGTTGTTGATTCCCAAAAATCCCAGGAAAGTTCCTAAAGATGACGAATAACACCTGCATTAACTCATTTTAGATAGGTTTAAGACCTTAACAGACGGCAAATGAAGCTTTAATATATACTTAAAATCAGTAACAAATACTCTACCCTCTTTTCTCGGTGTCAAGTAAAATGCCATATGCCAGAATATAAACAGGATGCATAATCAGTTGTAAACTATTACAGTTTCTCCTATCTTGCATTTCTTACAAGCATTTGATTTAGCTAAAAACCCAAGTGCACTAACTGAGCAACAACCACCACTGGTCCAGAAGCATACCAAAAAATATGCAGAGCGGCCTCACGCAGTCCCACATTCTGAGAGCTGACGGAATCAAATAAGAACTTCAGACCTTCTGGCCACTGGTTATTGCCATCCTCATCTAGAAAAAAAGTCAAAGGTTTACAGGGCAAATAAATTTTAGGGTGGTTTAAGTTTCAACTACAACTTATAGCAGTTAATATATTAGGATATCAGTTGTGCAAAGCCTTTGCATACTCTTCTGGCATTCAACTAAACCAGAACTGTGAGCATAAGTTAAGTTAGTTGAAATAAGAGCAGCACTTCAACAGGAGCAAACTGGTGCATATTCAGACTGAGTAAAAACACAGTACATTTAAAAGTCACTGTGCTTTTTTCAAATAAAATTCCAAACAAAATTAAAATTGCATATGTATAAAGGCCACAGCATAAACTATTCCAGGAATATAAGAAAGGGAAAACAAAAGGAGATGAGTATCTGATAAGCAAAAACACTAAGGTACAGAGATCAGCATTTACTCTTATGAAAAAATATTCATATATAAGAATTAATACAGTTGTGCACCAGAGACTTTACTGAAAGAGTCAAGGAAGTGAAATCCTACCCAATCCCAATTATGTTTCCTTAACTGTGCCTTCTGAAGTTGCCTCTACATGGATAACTAGGGCCCTACCAAATTCATGGTCCATTCTAGTCAAGTTCACAGCCATAGGATTTGAAAAGTAGTCAGTTTCATGTTTTCAGGTGTTTACATCTGAAATTTCAGAGTTCTGTAACTGTGCGGGTCCCGACCCAAAACAGGGTTGGGGGTCAAAAAGCTGTTGTAGGGGGGTTGCCACCCTAACTTCTGTGCTACTTTCAGAGCTGGCCTCTAAAGGCAGCCGCCAGGGAGCTTCCTGCAGCCGGGTCTAATCGCCGGTACTGATACGAGCGCCCCAGCCAGAAGCTCCAAGCTGCTAGTCCGAGTTGGGCTGGGAAGGGACAGGACTCGCTCTTCCCCTGCATGGCCACTCTCAGAGGTGAGATCAGACCCACCTCTGAATACTTCCCTCTGCTGCAGGAAGTTCTGCATCTGGGCAGCAGCCCCAGGGCTTCCTGCAGCAGGGTAGCTGGAGGTCAATCTGATCTCCCCCACTCCCTAAGACTAGCTGTGCAGGGGAAGAGCAAGTCCTGTCTCTTCCCACCCCAGCGACTATTAGCTAGTGCCCAGTGAACACTCCTCTCCCATCCCTCCAATAGCTAGATTTCATGGGGGAGGGCTTATTTCACATTCCATGACATTTTTTCCCATGGCCGTGAACTTGATAGGACCCTATAGTTAACAAAGGTCAACATAGTACAAACTTGGATCATTAAGTTGGGTTTTAAAGCTGCAATATTTTATATTTAACCATTTTACTTACACTTCTGTCTAGACTTGCTTTCTTTTAAAAGCTACTGTACTTTGAAATTCTTCTTGAGATTAGGAACCAAAATACGATGCAAATATTTACATATAGGTATGTACATATAGGTAGTGACCACTGCATATACATAATATACCTATTAAATTCCTGGCCAGCTCAGCAACAATGTCACAGATTTTTTTCCTCATACTAGACTGTGTTTCCATTTGAATAATCAACAGCAGTTCACTTTTGATGGCAGTTTGAACATCTGGTGAAAGAGCTGGATAGACTTCCTCAAACGCAGAGGACAACAGACGTCGTAGAAGGACAGCTGCCATTTGTCTAGCCTATTGCGAAAAGATATTGTATATATTACTATGTTTTCCTTGGAAGAAGTCTCATAAGCAAGATATTAGTTCTACTCCTATGAAATGTTCCACTTTTATACACAACAATCCATTTGATAAGCCATTTAATCAAATTATTTACTTGGAAAGAGGATAAGGTATGTATGTAGTTTAGTTGAGGTACATTTTTCAAAAATAAAAACTCATCAATCCTCTCTAAAATGCAGCACTGTCTTTTCACACAGATTTAAGGGTTTTGTTGTTTTTGTAAACTAAAACAGATGTGTCCTAACCTCCCCAAAAGGTGATTTTGTATGTGTCTCAGCAAATTTTGTACTCTTTCCCCACAAGAATTATAACATATTAACTTTGATATTCATATCCAAACATCCCACTCATTTGAACTCCAATACCCCCCCAAGAACTTTTAGCCATTTCCTTAACTTTAAGCACATGCTTAAAATCTCATTGAGTGAGCTCAATCAAAAGCCTCTAGCTTCAGGGTCACTGTAAAATGTCAGCAAAAATGACAAGAGAAGACAAGTGCTAGTGTCTGAGGGGGAATACAAGTTCTATTAAATGAAAGGAGCTTTGATTATGTTTAGTAAGTTACACAGTAGCTGAATATTCTGTAAAGCAGTGGTTTTCAAGCTTTGGTTGGCAGACTCATGGGGGACCACAGACGACGTCAAAGAGGTCTGCAAGAGGTTGTCATTACCATAGAACAGTGGTTTTCAACCTGTGGGGTCTAAAATTTCCAAAAGGGTCCACAACTCCATTTGAAATATTTTTAGGGATCTGCAAATGAAAAAACTACTGCTGTAAAGCAATCTCAGTTATGCAAGGAGTTATGAAGGAATTGTGAAATTATTAAAGTTTGTTCACAGATGGCAGTTTTACCCCACAAAACTTCACCGTGAGTAGAAATTTGTACTCAATTTTATTAAGATACCCGAATCAATAGTTGCAGCAGAGTTTTTTCTGTTCTTTCTGGTTTGGGGAAGCAGCTAGATGTATTTTTCCTTAGTATATATTTTTCAATTATGCCAATTGGATGGATGGATGGATAATTTATATTTTTTAGAAATCAAAACCAAAAAATCTTTAAAATATCCAATTTTAGATATTTAGAAAGAAGCGAAATTACAACTGATATCTAGATAAGATAGGAAGGGGAAAAGGGAAGGCAGATATCAATCAAGGCAAAGGGCAGAAGTCCTTAAAGCCTACTAGAGAATTCACTGTACATATTTAATCAGTGAGGTGCTCAAATATTATGGTGATGAGAGAATCATACAAATACATAGGAAAGTCAGTCAATTGGTAATAATGATAAATTAAATACCTATTTGACCATGGTCAAATGTTGCAAACATTCCAGCAAGAATAGCCTGAAGAAGGCACTGGTCTATCTTTTTGATTGCACCCTGGTGCCACCTTTTAGCCAGTCTACTTAAATGTTTTGATCACTGATTTTACTAGATGCTAATGCCACCTGCTGGGAGCTAACTGAAAGTGGAGCATCTTCATTAGCTGGAATCTTCCAAAACAAACATATGTGTGTATATATATATATATCTTTATTTGTGTAACAGGCCATCAGTATACATGGTAGTTTACAAAGTACATTAAACATGTTAAAATACACAGTCCCTGCCCTGAAGAGCTTATAATATGAACTGACTAGTCAAAGATACAGAAATTAACTCAACACATTCATAGGAATAGTGTCGACACAGGGGTGTGGGGGGAGAGGAGGAGGAGAAAGCGACACTAGGCACTCTGGGATAGAGTTGCTTTGACTTGGATCTGTGCACTGCAGTGTGGATGCCAGAGCCCTAGGTTTGAGCATGGGTCAGAAAATCCTTAACCAAGGGTTAATGCAGTGTAGACACTCTCAAGCCCAGGGTTCCCTGACACAGGTCAGCTGTCTTGAATCTCATCAACCCTAGGCTTACATTGCTGTGTAGACATACCCTATGTGATCTGGGAGTCCATAGTTTCCTAGGATGCAGAAAAAACATGCCCAAATATATTGATTGGCTGGAATCTCTGAAACAGCAGCAGTTAGAAACAACTGAATGGCTACTGATTGAACTACAAGGGATATTTCATAAACCAGAAAGCATTCCACCAATAGACACACATTATAATGACATAATAAATTACACCAAGTCAGGAAAGCTAAAATCATTTGTATGGAAATTTTACTAGACGTGGAAAAACTGTTAAAGCTAACTGTAAGTGTTCTGCTTGGAGTACGACACCTTGATAAAACGGAGAAACTCACTGAACTCTTGTGAGGTGTCCACCTACTGTCAAAGACAGATACTGCAGTGAAACAGCAAGAAAGGGAAACCTAGTCTGCAGCAGAATTTTCTTCAGTGCATTCTCCTACTTCATCTTCAGCAGTACCATCCTGAACAATCTTTTGAGGAAGATAGTGAGATAATGACAAAAAGCGAAGCTAATCCCATTTCTTCATCTTCTAATAAGAACTTTGCTACTTCATCTGCTTCAGCATTGAAAACTACCACCCACTGGAAAATTCTTCAGATGTTCATCAAATTGATATTAAAAAGTTTTTTGGTCCCATCACCAGAAAAATAAACTTGAACAAATGTTTGCTAGAGGTATTGTTTGCAGTACACCATTTCATATATAATTGAAAACCTTTGTATGCTAGAATTTTTTCAATTTACAAAGCATCGAGTAGGAAACAGCTTGCAGGAAGTCTTCTGAATGCCAAAATGGGCAGTGTGAAAAAGTTAGTCCTCTTCTTGAGTAAGCTCCTCGCGTGTCTAGTGTCTGAAGGATGGAGCAACATTCACTATTTCATGTTCACTCCAACGCACAACTGAGCTTCACCACACAGCCCAATATATTGCTGACCAGTTAAAAAAGGTAAGACTTGGTAGGTTAGATATTTATCAGTAAAGTGTAAGCTAACATCGATTTCAAACATCAATGAAAAATATTTCCATTGATAATAATCAACATCTACAGACAGGCAAAGTAAGAAAAATGCTGCTTAAGAACTTAGAGACAGTCATTAAATTATTGCCTCACCTGCCCATAATTTCAAACAATTGCAAACAATTAAAATTGATAAAAATTTAAAAGAGAACATTTAAACGCAAAATTTCATACAACTGTGAAAGTGGAAATGGATAAAAACACTGAAAAAAAATCAAGATCAATATTATCCAAAGTTTATAAAAAACAAAATTGAATTCTGCCAAGATAATGAATGACTTGGATCCTTGGAAGGTTATTTTGGTTGTGACTAACAATGCCGCTAACATGAAAGCTTCTTGGTCACTGTAGATTGAGTATCCACACCGTGTGTTATGGATTTGCTGCCCATATGATGCAGCTTTTCATTGGTTATGTTGCAGATCTGAAAATTTTCTCATTACATGTAAAAAAGTGAAAAGCATTGCCAATTTTTCCAAAAACAAATGAGTGCCCGCAGCCATTTCTGAGCAACATTTAGTACAGCACTTGCCATATCATACTTGAGGAGCATCTTCTATTAAATGTATGAAAAATCTTCAAATATGTAAGAAGATTTCAGTCAGCCACTGCTAAAGAAAGAGCGGCCAGGTGTTCTCCCAGAGTAATCTGCACTGACATTCTTGTCAATCTTTCAGATGCACAACTCAACATTCATTTCATTGCTTGAACCAATAGCACAGTCCATTCAGAATATGAAATGATAGTTCTGCATTGTATGATGAGAAGAACAAGCTCCTGAACATTAAGAAACATCTGTGAGAATACTGAACAAAGTCCACTTACAAAAGCTGAAAATAGAGACAAAATAATAGCACAGAAAATCAAGTGATCACTCTGGCACAAATGCTGCCTATCTTCTTGATCCATGCTTCCAGGGCCAAGGCCTTGCTGATAATGACTGATTCAGCATATGACTTCATTGCAGCTGTTGCAAATTTTCAAGGATATACAGTGAACTAACAATTCGGACAGAGGCAGCAAATTATAAAACAAGCAGAAGCCCATTAAGTAAGAAGACAACGTGGAGTGCTGTCCCAGGAGTTGAATCAAAGCAGTTTGCTCCATGACAGTGAAAAAGGTTGGTCCCTGCACTGTAGCTACAGTGGCAGAAGTTATTTTAGTCCTTCTGTGTGCTACTGCAGATGCAAAAAAAAAAAAAAATGATTTGGGGAATCATCCTTTCAAAACCTAGAAATAAACTCAACACCTCCACTGCTTGGAAGCTGGCAACAGTGTTTCAGGACTAAAAAGGCAAGCTAGGTGAGGTAATATCTTTTATTGGACCTACTTTTGTTGGTGAGAGAGAAGCTTTCAAGCTACACAGAGCTCGTCTCCAGGTCTGGGAAAGGTACTATGAGCATCACAGCTAACTACAAGATTGAACAGATAGTTTAGCACAAGCAGTTAGCATGTATTCTAAGGAAACATTCAAGGTGAAGTGGGCGGTAACACCCCTGCAGTCATAGGACAAAAAGGGGCTTAGAGGGTTAGATTGTTGTAATAAGCCATAAATCCACTTGTGGCATTTTGTGCCTCAAAGCAGCACTGTGGAACCCCCATATTCATACCATCATATATTTATGATATATTTCATACAAAGTATGCCATGTAAGATACCATATGAAAGGTCACAACCTGATGAAACCCACTGTTCTGCCCAAATATGTGTATCATTAGTGTGTATGAAGTTATGAGATTTTGCTGCATGGTTGTTACTGACATAGGTTGTAAGTTTGTTAGGGACATACCAAAAAGGCAAACCCAGAGGGGCTCCCAGAGGGGTGCTCAATGACCATTAATCAGCAGGGCAGCTGTAATCAATGGATTTACAATTCAGTGACAGTTGCACAAGACCAGGGGACTGCTCAACCCAGTGACTCAGCAAAGCCTGCCAGGACACGTCTGGGCAAGTGTCTTCTAGGTACATGGACTAAGGATATAAAATAGGGAACAAAGCAGCATTCCTTTGCCTTTCTCCTCCCCCACCTATGCTGGAAGCAACAAGAACCCTGAGAAGACAAAAACTTCATCTGAGGAGATTAGTCCAGGCTTCTCGGAGAAGTCTGTGTATTAAGAATGTAACATCCAGGGGGTGAGAAAACTGCTTGCTCTAAATACTGCCTAGGCTAATAAGTTTTAAGATTTAGACTATGCACTTACTTTTATTTTCTTTAGTAAATATCTGAACTTTTATGCCTACCACTTACAATCTATCTTTCTGTAGTTAATAAATTTGTTTATATTTTACCTAAAACTGTGGTTTGGTTGAAGTGAGTAGGAAATGTCAGCTCAGGTACAAAGGCTGGTATATGTCCTCTCCACATTGAGGGAGGGGCGGACTGAGTAATAAACTTCCGCTGGTCAGGCTTCTGACCACGGCAAGACAGTATAGTCCAGGGGGTGCCAGGCTAGGGAGCTGAGGGGAATTGGCTGGTGCCTTTCTCTGTGTGATTCATGAGTGCTTTAGGACCATTTATGCAATCTAACTGGGCGTGGGGCTCCACATGCTCTTGTGTTGAGTGATAGCAGCACCTATAGGGGTTTGCTGCTTGTCACTAAAAGCATTGAGAGAGAGCCCAAGCTGGAGAGTTAAGGGGGCACAGTGGTACCCCCGTGCCAGGTTGTACCCCGGGGATCCCACCACAACAGTGTCTTTATTTAAGATCACGATTTTTACTGTCACACAAGATTATGAACTTAAGCGCCCAGGCTTGTTTTTTGAAAGTGTTGTGCAGTGTTCCTTTGAGGATGAGGACTGATAGGTTAGATAGAGAGAGATCACTTTCAACTTGTCTCTCTAATATCCTTGGACTGACAAAGTTACAATACCACTGTACATATCAAGACTAGATTAAGATTAGAAAAGAAAACGGCAGATGAAGAGTTGACTGAATATACATCAAATGGAGGAGATTCTGATGATAAAGATATTGATGAAGCAGTTGAAGCTGATAATGTAAAGCAAGATAATTGAAGGGCTGCTCTGCTGCTTACCTAGCATAAGTACATTTAAAAATGACTCTTATAGTTGCTGTGTTTTATTTCTGTTTAGGTTTTTTTTCCCCTCTAACTGTTCAGCCTTGAATAAAGTTCACATGTAAATACTAAACTAACTTTGCTAAAAAAAGATAATTCTTTCACTTTTTAGAAAGTAATTTCACTGTGCTTCACATTTTTCTCAATTGAAATAACCCCGTTAAGTAATTTGTTTTTTGTAATTAGGTGTAAGTATCTAAAGCTAAACCTACTGGAGATCAAAGTTCCCCCCCCTTACTGTTGTTGTTCTAATAAATTAGTCCTTTAAAATCCTTGACTGTTACTGACACAAGACATTGTTTGACCAATATTTGACTGGTCAACCGACCAATTATTTTCTGACTGGTCAAGTGTCCAACCCTACAAATATATACGCAAAGATAAATTAAGAAAGAAAGATGAAGCCAGTACAAATATTTAGCTCCTAACCTCTTTTCATAAGTAGATCTCAAACCTTCTTTATAAAGGAGGTTTAAGTATTATCACCCCCATTTTAAATGATGGGGAAACTGAGGTGTAAGGTCACACCACCACCAGGCCAGAGGCAGAACCAGGAACAGAATCCATGTCTCCCAAGTCCCAGTCTAGTGCTTTTCCCCCACACTGCTTCAGAAATAAGCTATTATGTTGATGGGTGCTAGAGACATTCCTAAAACAGAATTAATGTGTTACTACATTGCTCATTCATATATGCAACTAGATAGGACCCACTCTGGATTCACAGACATCATCCACATTCATTGGGGAATATGACAAGAATTTCAGGGGGGATGTATGTTTCATAACTCAATCCATTATTCTGTAAAGGAAAACATCCACAAATACATAAAATCCATAACTGGATCGAACAAGATCCTGCCTGTGGATCCAGTATTTTAAGATTACAATATCCTTAGTTGTTGAAACCAGTAATCCAAGATCCGTTAGCCAACGGACTGCGCAATGAGGATGACTTATGAAATATTCATCCCCTTTAAAAAAACAAAGAGTGATTACTAGTACCCGTAGCATCAAAGATGAAACTAAAGAGGAAACTGGCTTTGAAGATCTAAAGGACTAACATTAGCTAATTAATGCTCACCACATCCCTTAGAGAGTGAAAGTATTATTCTTATTTTAAGGGTGGGGCAAAGTGCTGTTACTCACCCAAGGCCACAAGGCTGGTCAGCAGCAGGACTCTGGAGTTCCTGAAAACCCAAGACCACCCTGATTTTTGCCAATTTTACCTTTTTTTAAAATTAGAGGGTTGAAAAGCAATACAATACTACTTTGTGGAGAACATAATCAAGTGGGACTTTATAAGCATAAGTTTACACAAATAACATGAAAGCTGCTCAATCTGCAGTAGTTCTCTAACTGTATATACAAATATGACATCTAGAGCCCAAGACAACTTTCTGAAGGAAAAGACTGCAAAGTACCTTATTTTCCCTGACAGATATAAATGCATAAAAGAGGGTTCCACAATTTTCTGAAATTAGAAGACATCTCTGATGCACAAGGCTTTAAGCATCTCTGATCTTGGACAAGAATTAAGCATCCTCAGCTTTATGCAGCTAGCAACTTGCAATAATAGATTCAGACTCCTAAGATGCTTAATTCTTGTCCAAAATCAGAGGTGCTTAATATTGAGAGAGATTGTAAAAGGAAGAAGGTGGTTTAGCATCTGGGAGATTAGCAGTATCATTAAATACATTAAGTCTTTAAGCTGTCAGGGAAAAATGTGATATATATATAAGGGGATCATTGCCTGACCAGGATAACACTGCTGCTCTCATGTTTTTCTTCCAATATTTATAGAGGAATTCTAAATGATATCAAACATCTTTTCATGATTCAGCAACAACTTTCCAATTAAAGCTGTATATTGACAAATTAAGTACTCTCTTACATTTCTAAAATGATTTTGAGTTTTCTGATGTTAAGTTAGTGGTTCTCCACTTTACATGTCCAGGTGTCTAAGGATAAGTACTTGTAAGATTAATTACTTCTGAACTGCAGGATATTCTGTAACGTGCAAACACTCCCAAACAAAGTGAGTACCTGAGAGACACGCTTTGTAAATTTTTTTACGTTACAGTACACAAGTCAACTTCATTTAGTGTTTGATAGTTACCAAACCCAAGTTCTAAACTAATGCCAGTCTTTCTGATCAATTACAGAATTTTTTTTCCCCAGTAGAGCACAAAATATATGTGAATAGTTAACACTTTAAAAACACCTTTCCCTCATGGTCAGCTACCTTAAAACTAGTCAAACAGAACTTAAGCCATTCACTTTTTGTCTAAGAAAAATTAGAAATTTCAGCCCAAAGGTTACACTTAAAAACAGGGCCTTTGAATGAACTAATTTGTCAACCATAGCTATAGGTGACACTACTGTAATACACACATACTTTCATGTAAAAAATATTGTGGATAGGCTTTTCTAGGAAAAAGGACCATTTGTTATTTCAGCTGAGATAATGTACACGCAGGAAGCAAGGCAGGTACAGGCAGCCACTGTAAATCCCCAAAACAGAATTAGTAATTAGGAAACTTAAGACAATGTATAACAAATCCACTGATACATACAATGAACTATGCATGAATGAAATCTAAACCCAGCTCTTCCTAAATGTGCTGAATTCAGCACGACTCACTATAGAAACACAATGCCAGATTTGTCACTCAGTCACTCATCCCTGCAATGAAACAGCTCACACACACCCCTCCTCCAAACCCTTACCTCCCCTCCCAGTAACCTTCTGAACACTTTGCAGAATGATTCTTAACACAAACCTCCTCAGCAGCAGCAGCATTCCTGATGGCTTGTAAAAGGAATGTGATCTTGGACTGGCCTGGGATAGTCTCATATGTTTCCTGGACATAAAGAAAAGAGAAGAGGTTACTACCAGCAAGTTACTGCTGGAAAACATACAAGTGGCATTAACATTAAGAACCTTAATTGCTCCAGTTGGAGAATCCATTGCAAATTATTAAACAAAACGATAGTACATCATATACATAAAATTAAGTTGACAAAGTACATTGAGACAAATGTAGTAAATATTTGGAATATTTTGTAAAATTAAAAAAGGCTTGGCAATATGAAATCTTACCTCCTGAGAGCTAGAAGGAAATTGCCTTATACACTTTCAGAAAGATTGTATTGTATCTCTAACTCAGGCCTGTAATGAAGATTTATTTCAAAGACCTAAGTTAAGACTGGGATCAAATATCAGAAGCTTTTGTAGACAGAAGAATAATGTGACCCAAGTGTGAATTTTCAACTGATATTTCAGATGTGTGAGCAAGTTTTATTTATAAGAATGCACTTCATCTTTTGTAGTAAGATTTTTCAGAAAGAAAAGTTAAGTAACCCCTTTAAAATATTTTACCCATTTTTCCCACTCAAATTCTAACCAAGTTCACATGTATAAACACCCAACACAAACTTTTAGATAACTTCTGCTCAAAATACAAACCTGTTCTCATCAACCCCATTCCCAACAAATCTATCTGTGACTCCTCTCCACAACTACAGTCCAATCTCTTGTCCCTTCAGTCTAAACCAGTGGTCCTCAAATTTTTTGTATTGGTGACCCGTTTCACACAGCAAGCCTCAGAGAGCCATCTCCCTTATAAATTAAAAGCACAGCATTTAAATAATGTTCAATATAAAAAATAAGTTCATAACCCCATTTAAAATGAATTTACCTTTTCTCACAGCTTTTAAATTAAAACACATTTTTTATTAAATTGTTATATGCAGAAAAGCTTTTTTTTTTTAAAAAATAGTTACTGTTTAATACTGGGGGAGCTCATGAAGAAACTGTCATCACTTTTCACAACAGACTTAGCACCCCACTGCCAACCTTACTTCACTTCCAGCAGCAGCATAGAAGTGGTGGTGCCTTCAGAACTGGACAACTATTCCCCCTCCGCCCCTCATTCGTACTCTGAACTCCTACTGACTTCCCCCTTTCTACTGTAGAGCCTCAGAATTACGAACACCTCGGGAACTAAGACGGCAAAGAGTCCTGTGGCACCTTAGAGACTAACAGACGTATTGGAGCATGAGCTTTTGTGGGTGAATACCTACTTCGTCAGGAACTAAGGTTATTTGTAACTCTGAAATTTTCATAACTCTGAACAAAACATTATGGTTGTTCTTTCAAAAGTTTACAACTGAACATTGACTTAATACAGCTTTGAAACTTTACTATGCGAAGAAAAATGCTGTTTTTCCTATTTTTTTAGTAGTTTACTTTTAACTCGGCACTGTATTTCTTTCTTTTTTTTTTTGGTCTCTGCTGCTACCTGACTGTATACTTCTGGTACCACATGAGGTATGTGGTTGACTGGTCAGTTCATAATTCTGGTACTACAGAAGTTCTACTGTACTACATTACGTTCAAGCTTCTTGTCCTCACTTTAATGGCCTTTAAATAACTCTAACCCTCCCATCTTTTTGATTCTTTATACATCTCCCACCCACCGCCATCTCACCAGTGCACCAACCTCCACCGCTCATTTGTCCACTTAACCTACAACCATCTTCATATTTTCTTTCACACCACCCGGTGTATGTGCAATGCCCTCCTTGAACTGTAAAACCAGTACAATCCTTCTCCTTCAAATCTCCCATTTCTACTGTGCTGCTCTAAAAAAGTTGCCAACTAAAAACATGGAGGAAGGTCATGGGAAAAAAATATTTAAATTACTATTGTTTTACTCCTCACATTACTTGTTCTTTTAGATTGTGAGCTTTTTATTATTCTATAATCCACATTTGCTGCCCACCCTCCACCCCAATCTTACTGGGGAATATTCCAATGACAATCTTAGAAGCAGCAAGACAAATACATTAGCAGACTTGTCAAATGTAAACTAAAGAGATCCAAATTCTAAGGAAGGAAATATTATGGAGTTTGATTTGCAGTCAATGAACATAACTGTCCACTATTCTTTGAGACTGGATGAAAGAAGTGAAGGAACCAGTTTTTAGCAAGATGGTTTGAGTCAATTGTGTAAGTGTTGCAAAGTATTATAACAGTATGTTATCAGTTTGGGACAGGTACATTTTCCTGAGATTTTGAATTAAATAGGTTTTTAAACCGTACACACAATTCAGAAGACTAACATAGTACCAAGCACCTGAATTTTGCTGTGCAACTAATCTTAAGCAGTTCTCGTGCCCTCTTTAAAGGTTCCAATTTGATTCAAGAGTTTAGTTCTAACACCTATTACTACTCAGTAGTAACACAGTAGAAAGTCATTAATGACATGGAAAGCGACTGCACGGATTACTAAATTTTGCATGTTTGTAAGCTTGGTACATTAAAATGTACTTTTCATTTGTAACATGTTAGTGTTCTAAATATTTATAACACTAACCAGTTAATCCTCAACATTCCTTTGAGATAATTATTCCCATCTGTACAGACAGAGAAATGGTGACAAAGTTCTTAAGTGACTTACCTGAGCCACATAGCAAGTCAGTGGGAAAGCTGGTACTAGTACTCAAAAGTTCTAGTTATTCATGATACATAGTATACCAATAACGGTACAGTTGTGTATATTATGAAATAGATTTAATAACAAGCTTTTGATATTGTCTTTTTTTAAGGGTTTACTAGGTTTGCACATTAGCTAAATAGTACCATTCTACACTAATTTCAAGCCACTGACACCTGATATTAGTGCAACTAACTTGCAACACTGTATGTAATCACACTTTATTTACAAAGGCTGACGGTATCTAGGCTGGCTAAATTCTGGAACAATGAATTCTAAGAGAGCAGTCATAAGAGATTCAACAAGCAACTAAGCACTAGTTCCTGCATTTATTTGAAACGGCTGTCCTTCAGAGGTTCTGGAATTTAAGAACAAGTGTCATACTGGGGCCCAAGAATGAAAAGGATCTGTGTACTTGTGTCTAAGCTATAAATATTCATAAATTAAGGATTTGTTCCAAAGAACATACAGCAATTTTCCAGGGTAATATTATGTTCATATTAAGCACATAACTAATTGACATTAATGAGATTTCTGTATAGAGCAAGAATACACTTGCTCTATACTTTTCCCCGGAATATGCTTTCTCTATACTTTTATGCTTGCTATATACACTTGTTCTATACTCTTTCCTGGAATATACTTAATGTCACTTAAAAATCTACCTATTAGAATTAGTCAAAATCTTGACCTTAAAAGTAAACTAGCTATAATATGCAAACCAGAAATATTGTTCACTGGAGTAAATCAAATCATACTACTCTAAATGTATTTTCACACCTGAACTCTTAGTAACCAGTTAGGTAGATGAATTTTTAACTGTTTGAACTAAACAAACTAAATATTGCAAGGCTAAGATTAGAAACCATCATTTTAGGACAGAAATAAATTAATGGTAAACGTATTAGGGAAAAAAATATTCTAAAAATTCACAAGAGAAACATTGCTCATTTCCAAGCAAAAGCATATTTGGAGAGAGTATTTTTGGACACAAATTGATTTTTAAAACAGTACAGATTAAGTCATTTAAAATTTATAAACAAACTTTGGGAAGAGAAAATTGTTTTAGGAACAAGAAACTAAATACTCATTATCCAACTATTTCCATTATGTCTAGATGAAACAGAAACCAAACATCAAGTTCAATGTACCTAAATAAAAAAGTAAATGGTATTACTCTGTTTGTATTCAAATACAAAAGCAACACACAGTGTTCAACAGTCTGGTATAGTCAGTCACATGCAATAGATATTTTTGTTTTGATTGACTTCACATGGGAATTGACAAATGTGCAGTTGATACACATAGTCAAAGCAAACTTTTCACAAAGTAAACTATACAAAATTTTATTTATCCCTTTCTGAAAAGGATTTTATATTTGTTATTATACAATTTTCCACTATCTTTTAACGTTGCTTTAATACATTGTGCAACAAATATACTCTCTCAATTTTTTTAAAACCTAATTCGTGCACAAGTGTAATTTTGCTACACTTCTGGGCATCAAAATGGGAAAAATCAAGTCACACAATTATGTCTTTACAGTCTATATTTTAACCACTACATTCCAGAATGTGGGAGCATCATTTGCTGCTTCACTGTAAGTCTCGTGGCTTTGCTACCTACAAACAGTTTTCAACTTCAATGTGCTCTTACTATGTATGACCAGAAAGAAAAAGAATCAGACTGAGTTTTCATTTTGGTATGGGGGAAAAACAGGATTATTCCTTATGAAAGAATGTGCTGAACTCTGCTGACCGCTAAAACAATGTAAGAGATAAAAGACCCAGCACAGCCATCCAATGGGAATTCATGGTCTAAACCAGACGCTGGTATTTAATTCAATAGAAGAGAGATTTCCCATTAGGTTGACAATAGTGACTCTTAAGTGGGGGAGGGGAGAGGGGGGAGAGAATTAGCCGAGTTTACTGACTACAAAGCATTTTTGCTGAAGTGACACGTGAAAAGTTTTGGCTGATAATAACGTTCACTATGTAGAAAAGGCTTCGTTGAGGAGAACATCACTTAGATGCTACTGGCCCTCCACAGACGACCAATTCTGAAGTGAGAGAACAGGATTACACCACAAAAGGGGACCACGAAGAGTTAAGCAAGACTCTCAAAGGGGCTTCTCCTCAGGCGAGAGAGAGAGAGAGAGAGAGAGAGCGCGCGCGCACACAAGCGATCCGCGCACGGGGGGACAGCACCTGAAGGACAGACACGACACGGCTACCTGAAGACCGCCTGGGTGCAAAGCCCTGGATGGGGCGAGCTGAGTGAATCGCTCCTATTTGCGTCTCTCAGCCCGGGCCTCATCCTAGAGCACAGCCCCTCCCGGCGCTTCACCGTGTCAGCAGTTCCCGCTAACTCCCCCCCCCCCCGCAACCTCCCCCCCATCCTGCACGGGCGGGTCACGGACGCGGGGCCGGTACCCGCTCTCGGTGCCTAGCCACGCCGAGGGAGCTGCCCCGCCTTGTATCTGGGGCAGACTCCGACAGCCGCAGAGCTGAGCAGCCCCGGCAGAGAGTGACCGCCAGGGACACCAACCGCGGCGGCCCCCGGCCCTGCGAGGCCTGAGGGGGAGCAGCGCGGCCGCACACACACGCCGAGGGCTGAGGCGGCGGCGCAGGCCCCAGGGGAGGGGAGGGGCAGGCCCTGGGACAGTTGCCGTTTGAACCCGCCCCCGAACTAACGGCCGAAACGGCCTCCGCGGCCAGAGCGGGCCAGCCGCGTCCGCGAGTCACCCCTCCAGCTGCTGCTCACACGTGGGGCTGGGCCAGCCCCGCTGCCTGCTCCCCTCCGGCGGCCGCGGGAGGCTGACAGGCCGGCGCCGGCGTCCCTCACCTCGGCCTGTTTGCGGACCGTATTGTCCGGGCTCAGCAGGTTGCCCAAGAGAAGGTAGAACTGCTGCTGCTGCTGCTGCTCCTGCTCCGCCGCCGCCGCCATTGCTGCGAGAGGGAAAGAGAGACAGAGACCGGCCGGGCAGGGCAGGCAGGGAGGGAGGGGGAGCCGGCCGCGCACCCACTGAAAGGAGGCGGAGCTGCCACCGCCGCGCTCTTGTCCGAGCTTCTCTCACGGCCCGTCCCCCACCGCCCCGCTCCAGGGCGCCCATTGGTTCTGGACGGAAGCGGCTTCCTCTCTGATTGGTCCGAGGCCCATGTCGAGCTGCGGATTGGGGGACACCGACTGCCCTCTGACTGGTGCCGCTCCTCTTTTGTAATTGGGCCGCTTCCAAGCGAGAGGACGAGGCGAGAGAAGTAGTCATTGGCGGAAGCCTCTGACAGCCGCATTGTGATTGGTCAATGGTGGGGTTGCATGGTGGAGGGAGGGAGACTAGAGCGTGTGAGCGCCTAATGGGCGGGGGAAGGGAGGAGAGGGAAAGCGCGGGAGATCCGGGGCGCCTCCCCCGGTTGTGCCACTGCTCTCACTCCAGTGAGGTGCTGACCCCTTCTCCTGCCATTGGCTTGGGCGAATCTCCGCCCCTCCGCGCTGCTGGTCTCTGCCCGTCCTCAGGGATGGGGGTGGGGGGCTGCGGGAGAGGGGAGCCCCAAGGAACGGCCCTGCCTACAGGGCAGTGTCAGCCACAGCCTCCCCGGAGAGGGGGTGGCAGCATCTCTGCCTCCCCAGTAACACCAAGTAGGGATCACGCGGCCCAATGTCCCTGCCTCCCCCATGATAGGCGCGGGTCACACAACCCCACGACCCTACCAGTGTTCCCTCTACTTTTTTATGTCCACGTGTGGAAAGAATTTTGTTATGTGCACCAATATGGAGGTGGTGTGTGACATATCACCTCCATATTGGTGCACATAACAAAATTCATGTGGTGGAGTAGTGCCGAGGGGTTTGGAGTGTAGGAGTGGGCTCAGGGCTGGGGCAGAGGGTTGGTGTGTGTGGGGGAGTGAGGTCTCTGGCGTGGGGCCGGGAATTAGGGGATCAGGGTGCGGGAGAGGGATCAGGGTTGTGGCAGAGTGTTGGGTGCAGCGGATGAAGGCTCCGGCTAGGGGTGAAGGCTCTGGGGTGTGGCCGGGGATGAGGGGTTTGAGGTGTGGGAGGGGGCTCGGACCGAGGGTTGGGGTGCGGGCTCTGGGGTGGGGCCAGGGATGAGGGTTTTGGGGTGCAGGCTGCCCCAGGGCTGCAGTAGGAAGAGAGGTCTCCCCCCTCGCCTTCTCTCGCCGCAGCACTTTGGGGATGGGGGAGACGTGCCTCTCCCTGGCCATAGCAGCTGTGGTCGGGCTGATCTGGGGTAGTGGAAGGGCTCAGTCCTTTCCCCGGCAGCTTCAGCAGGCCTAGGCTGGGCTGGGGGACGGGCTTCTCTCCCCCCCCGCAGCAGCAAGTCCAGGGCAGGTCCGCACTGGGGCTGGCAGGGAGAGGCGCCTCTCCCCGCCATGGCGGGTCTGCCCTGGGGGAAGAGGTGCCTCTCCCTACCACAGCCCTGAGCCCCTGTGCAGGGTTTAATAGGCATCTGTGCGGCTTAGAGGGAACTTAGGTTCCTACCCCCGAGTAACTGGGGATCACACACCTCTGCATCCCTGCCCTTTCCAGTGACTCAGGGGGTCACTAGCCCCATGTCCTAACACCCCCAGTGACACCAATTGGGGGTCATGCCCATGACAATGACTAGGTATCACACAGCACCATGTCCTTGCCCCCCCAGTGACAGCAACTGTGGGTCACATGGCCCCATGTCCCTGCGACGGGTTCACACAGCCCAATGTCCTAACCCTCACCATGTGACAGTGATTGGGGGTTACACAGCCCTGCATCCCTCACCTCCCCCCAGTGTCTGAATGGGGGGTCACATCTCTACCCACTTAGTGACTCAGTGTGGGTCAAACAGCACTGTTTCTCTGTCCCCTCTCAGTGACAGTGAATGGGGAAGGTCACACAGCCCCATGTCCATGCCCTCTCCCAGTGACAGTGACTGGGGGGTCACATGGCCCTGTGTCCCTCCCCCCTCTCAATAACAATCACTGGCAATCTGTGACCTATTGGCAAAGGGTCCCCTGTTCTTTATAAACAGCTCTCACCTCAGACCTGACAAACTCATTACACCAAACACATATCTTGCAGGATATTTATCCATAAGCGATGTCATGTGCAGTACTTACAGTAAGTTGGTAAATTGTCAAGACACATAATCATTATGAGAGGTACGTATGGGTAACATTTAAGGAATAAATTAATGTATTTATGTTGAAAGTGGGCTTTATGGACTTGGAGTAGAAATTAGTCACCAGGATGTGATGTGCCCATTCACACAAGAGGGAGGTAATGCCAGCTCATCTGACTAGCTTTGGTCCATAACTATCACTAGAAAACCATCAGAGGCACCTCCAAACAATTAAAACCTCTTGGACGGGAAAAAGGAGCATTACAACAGACAGAGCTTTGTTCTGTCAGTGAAGAGAAACAAAAGGCTGTTTTCAGTATAACAGAAAAGGAAGCAGCACTCTGGATTCATTCATTGAAGAAACCCCAGGGTGAGCAAGGTGCTTTCATGAACGTTTTGGATCCTGATTCTTGTGAAACGAGCCAGCTCTGCAAAAGACAGAACTACTTTTATTATAGATGAAAGGGAACTATTGATAAATGTGGATCCAGGTTTGCGTTATGATTTTGTTTTGTGGTGTAACCAGTTGTTTCCATCACTTTCATTTCTAGTTAACTCGTTTATCTTTCTTAAATAAAACGACTTGTATTTTAATATACATGCTCACAAGTGCTGTGTGGTTTACAAGAATGATGGTTTAAGGTAAAACTGGCAAATTGGGATACAGTGCACCTCTCCGTGCAGAGGCTTTGAAATTTCTTTGAGTAGCTAGTGGCAAGGACTGGATATTGGGTGACCAGATGTCCAGTTTTCGACCAGAACACCCGATCAAAAAGGGATCCTGGCAGCTCCAGTTAGCACCGCAAACCGGGCCATTAAAAGTCTGGTCAGTGGTGCTGCTCAGCTAAGGCAGGCTAATCCCTACCTGTTCTGACACCGCGCTGCGCCCCAGAAGTGGCCAGCAGCAGGTCTGGCTCTTGTGGGGGGGACGGTGCACAGGGCTCTGTGCACTGCCTCCAACCCAAGCACCAGTTCCACACTCCCACTGGCCAAGAACCATCCAATGGGAGCTGGGGGAGGAAGGTGCCTGTGGGTGAAAGCAGCATGCAGAGCCACCTGCATGCCTCCCCGTAGGATCCGGACTTTCTGCTGGCTGCTTCCAGGGCAAAGCGCGGTCCACAGTGTCAGGACAGGCAGGAAGCCTGCCTTAGCACCCCCACTGCGCCACTGACCAGGAGCAGCCGGAGGTAAGCCTGCGCCCCAACCCCATGCCCCAATCTCCTGCTCCAGCCCTGAGCCCTCCCAAACCCAGAGTCCCCTCCCACACCCCAAACCCCTCATCCCCAGCCCAGAGCCCACTCCCACACCCCTCATCCCAGCCCCACCCAAGAGCCCACACCCTGAGTCCAGAACCCTAACCCACTCCCACACCCCAACACCCTGCCTCAACCTGCAGCCCCCTCTGACATTCCAAATCCCTCGGCCCCACCCACCAGCCCAGTCCCAGTCTTTTTACCCAGCTATTCCTAATCCCCACCTCCATCTTCTTGGACAGCCAGACCCAGTTCCCTACCTTCTGGCTCCTTTTCCAATGGGTCTATCTCCCCATCCCTGCCTCCAGTGCCCTCAAATCCACTTTCCTGGTCCCCACTGGTTTCCAGACCCAGCCTCCCTTCCTCAGCTCCTTCTCCAGTCTCAGTGTCCTCACCCCCATCTCCTTGTCCCTGTCTCTTTGTCCAGATAGTCCCAGTTCTTACCCACATACTGGTTCCTCATCTGATCTGTCTCCCCTCCCCATCACCTCTTTCCTTCTGACCCACTGATTCCCAGTCCCATTTCCACCCTCTGATTTTTCATCAGATCTTATCCTCCCGCACACACACATTGGATCCAAGTCCCTCCCCGGTTTCCTTCCCTAGCTCCCCATTGCAGTATCCTAGGCCAGCCAGACTCAGTCTCCCCTGCTGGCTGTCGGCCCCGTATATCTACACTACGAAATTAGGTCGATTTTATAGAAGTCGATCTTTAGAAAGCAATTTTATACAGTTGATTGTGTATGTCCCCACTAAGCGCATTAAGTCGGTGGAGTGCGGCCTCATGGCTAGCATCGACTCAGGGAGCAGTGCACTGTGGGTAGCTATCCCACAATCCCCGCAGTCACTGTTGCCCATTGGGTTAAGCTCCCAATGCCTGATGGGGCAAAAACATTGTTGCAGGTGGTTTTGGGTACATGTAATCAGTCTCCCCTCTCTCCATCCCCCCGTGAAAGCAACGGCAGGCAATCATTTCGCGTCTTTTTTCCTGGGTTACCCACGCAGACGCCATAGCATGGCAAGCATGGAGCTCGCTCAGCTCATCGCTGCTGTTAGCATTGTAAACACCTCGTGCATTATCTTGCAGAATGTGCAGAACCTGGCTAGGAGCTGCCAGCACGAGGACGATTGTGAGGAGGACATGGACACAGACGTTCCTGAAAGCACGAGATGTGGCAATTGGGACATCATGGTGGCAGTGGGGCAGGTTGATACCCAGTGGAATGCCGATTCTGGGCCCGGCAAACAAGCACAGACTGGTGGGTCCGCATAGTGTTGCAGGTATGGGATGATTCCCAGTGGCTGCAAAACTTTCTCATGCATAAGGCCACTTTCCTGGAACTTTGTGAGTTGCTTTCCCCCACCCTGAAGCGCAGGAATACCAAGATGAGAGCTGCCCTGACAGTTAAGACGCGAGTGGCAATAGCCCGTGGAAGCGTGCAACGCCTGACTGCTACCGGTTAGTTGGGAATCAATTTGGAATGGGCAAATCTACTGTGGGAGCTGCTGTGATCCAAGTAGCCAATGCAATCACTGATCTTCTGCTAACAAGGGTAGTGACTCTGGGAAATGTGCAGGTCATAGTGGATGGCTTTCCTGCAATGGGGTTCCCTAACTGGGGTGGGGCCATAGACGAAACCCATATCCCTATCTTGGCACCGGACCACCTTG